CACCACGTTAGACAATTACCTACGTGTTCGCAGACTGCACATATCTTTCGAAAATTAGTTACGTTCTCTCAAATTGTGAAAACAATATTACTTATACGAGTACAATAGTAGGAACTGGTAGTAGCTATATAGACTGCCTAAAATGAAAACGCAGTGTTAGCAATCAAAAATTTACAAATACCTATTACTAAAGCATTTTTTTCACGTCTTGCTATTTACTACTTGCTTATCATAAAACAAATATTTTATTAAATTAAGTTCTTGTATGAAAATGAGTGACATTCACTAGAAATTGAATACATACAAAAACTAATACTTACACTGTACAAATATGATAATGGCCATACAATAAGTTTGTATGTTATTTACATTGAATATTTCGGTACACCTCATTAAGGTAGTCATATAATTCAAATTCAACACACGATTCATTATGAGAATACGTGCATACATTGTTGGCAGTGGCCGAATAGGAATTAAAGTGATTTAATTAAATCTGGCGTCAGTAACGTCGGATATCGGTCAGGAATAGCTTGGACACGCGCCAGGCGCACGCGCGGAAACGGATGTGACGTCGCGTGTGTCACTGGGGTTACTAATGATGGATAATTAATTAACATTGAGTCATTTTTATCGAATATTGACAACCCGCCCTCGAATGTCAATAAAATACCCATATTTTGCAACAAATCCAGGTCAAAAATAGACGATATGACAAACCAACAAACACATACATTATGTATTTGTATATATACAAAATATATGTTTATTGTATCTCATTCAAAGTAAACAGTTGTATAAAGATAATATTAGATAATAATTACTATTGCGGTGTAGGATCAAAGTACATACCTAAAACGCCCAACATATATTTATTTTACTGTGACGAGAATAATATTTTGATGCTACTTAAAAATTACTTTTAACGATCGAAATCGTGTTATATTCTTAACTATCGGCTCACCCTCGCTTCGCTCGGGTTCGCCTCTAGAAAAACACTAATAAAAACCTATTAGTTCCCACGGTAACCGTTCATTTTTCCCGGATGAAAAGTAACCGGTTGTTTGACCGGCAATATAAGGTATCAGAATGTTAAATTTTACTAAATTAGATGCATAAGTTGTATAAGTTATAATAGTTTTTTAAGTATCCCACGGGAACCATTATATTTTCCGGGATAAAAAATATCTAAGACGTTGTCCGGGGATATAAGGTACCACCATGCAAAATTTCATTTAAATCGGTCCAATAGATTCGGAGATTAACCCGTACAAACAGACAAACAGACAATATCACACAGGAACGCAGTCGAACGGGATAAAAAGTATCCTATGTCCGTCTCTGGGTTCTAAGCTACCTCCCCGCCAATTTTCAGCCAAATCGGTTCAACCGTTCTGGAGTTATAAATAGTGTAACTAACACGACTTTCTTTTATATATATGTATAAGATTTAATAACGCGGACCAACTACGACAAGTGAACAAGATCGCAAGTAATGTTTAACAATCGTCTCACAGAACAATGGACCAACCAACTAAACTACATCATTAAACTGCAAAAAAGAGCATGAAGAACCTGAAGCAGGAAGCAGAATTGAATTTTTTCTCAAAGTTGTTTAAAAGTTTTAGAATAATTGTATTTGATTTGCAAAATAAGTGGTAGTTATACAAAAAACTTCAACTTAATAAAATTTTAAGTCATTAAATACTTAAATAATTATTTATATTACAATATATAATTACGTTCATACATACACGTTTGTACTCCAGTAATGGATGTTTGTATTTATAATATGTATATATTTAAAGTTATATACATATATATGTGTAGTGTATCAACTATCCATAAAACAAGCATCGTAACTTAACATGGGACTAGATGGTGCTGTGTGTTAATGTCACAAAATATCTATTTTATCTATACATAGAATAAAATTTTAAATGAGTCAAATCTGTACATTAAATATGTTTTGGAAAATCCTTTTGAAATAGACATTATATACAGAGGCCGAATCTATAGTTTTTAGAATTTATGTCTGTCTGTCTGTTACCGCATCACAGAAAAACTACTGGACAGATTTTGATGAAATTTGGCATGGTCATAGCTGATTATCCGGGTCAACATATAGGATACTTTTTACCGCGGAAAAATAACTCATTTCTGAGAAATAATACAAAAACCTATAATGTAAGAGTATACTAATATGTAAAACCTAAGAATTTGGTTCTTGGTCATCTGAACTAGTTTATTCATATGTTTGTGTAATCGAACTAAATGTAAAATGACTTTTATGCGCGCATTACGATATCCGTCAAAGCCTCTATCATTATCACCTATGTAATTTATGCTCTGTTGTACAATGACAATGGTTCTATCTACATCCCTGTTATAATCGTTCTAATAAAGTATTTTTATCTATTAAAAGTACCAACTTAACACATTTTTGATTTCAACAATAATTTTATATCCGTAAACGAATCCGAAATAAAAAACCTGAATAATGTACCTCTAGGGCTATAAAAATGACAGTCTTAATTCATTCTCATTTCACAATTCTCGAATTATCGAATATCCATAACTGAAATTATTCGAAACTATCGGATAATCCAAAATAAATTTATATCCTTATCCCTGACCAATTCTGGATAAACATTTTAATATATCCGTATCCGACATTTTATACCTAAATATATATCTCACATCCCCAATTTCAAGGTAACCGTGATACGTTCAGATTGTAATGTAAACGATACAACTCTATATAAATACTCATTTTGAAATATTCCCACGCCACACCATATATCCACATACACAGTGTATAGAGAAATAATAATAAAACGCATGTGGGTTGTTATTTGTAAATACGTAAGTAAATAAACTTGGAAACGTTTTCCCCAGTGTTGGCGGGCGAGCGGGCAAACAGCCATCCCGGACGTTCGAGGCTGAGCTAGCGAGTAAACAGGACCGTGGGTAGTAACGGTCGACTAACGGAACAATACTATGCTGACGTACATCTGATAAAGCTTGAATTATTATTTAAGTACAATTTACACATTTATTTATAATACTTGCTCGTGTAAACAGCTTTGTTCGTATATTTTCATATAGTGAACAATAAGCAAACATGTAATCTATACTTCTATACTAATATTATAGTGGTAAAATTTGTGAATTGTGAGTTTGTGACGTTGTAGGGGGTAATCTCTGGATCTACTGAACCGATTTAGATGAAATTTGGTATGAAGATAGTGTGAGACCCTGGAAAGGACATAGGATACTTTTTATCCCACAAATCATCCCTTAAGGGGGTGAAAATGAGGATGAAAGTTTGTATTGGGAAGCGAGCTAAGGGACGAACCCGAGCAAATCGACGGTGAGTCGCTAGTTAAATATATGGAGGTATATATACACTATACAAAATACAGTTCAGGCATCCGCATTACTTTTGGATTTGCTCGTTCGATTTTAAAGAAATTTGACTGTAATTAATTATGACACTAACACTACTAATTATTATAGTTTTAAATGTATTAGAATTAAAACTATAATAACAACATTTAACATAAGCTCAAACTAAAAACTGGATTCCCGTAACATTGATGTGTTACACAATCCTTTTTTTCTGTCTGTTCAGGTTAATTTTTGAAACACCTTCCGCAGGGGCAATCTATGGTGTAATTGTAAAAGTGGGGATGACCCTTAATTGCTACCTAAATTGTGAAGTGTATATTATGCAAGTAGGGGCAACTTCCTAGATTGCCCCTGCAACCCAGCACGTTGTCGCATATGTAACGCGATCGGGGCAATTTCTCTACCGATCTTTTGACAGTGTAGCCACTTAAGGGTTTTCACCTCAAATTTAAGGGTAAAAAAATTGCAACGGGGTTTTTTTTCTTAAATTGCTATTAATGACTTAAATATAAATAACGTTTTATAAAGTTTCTTTTAAAGACTTGAAAAAATCGTATATCTTTAAATATCATTTGCATCATTTATCCTTTTTTTTATTATTATTTTCTAAGTTATCTATGAAATTTATTATTATTATTATTAAATGGTTATATATAATTATTATTATAATAACCATGAATAAGTTTTTTACGCTACTTGTAATCATTTAAAATAAAAAATATTAAAAAAATTGTATTAGATAAAAACCTGCATTTTTCAAATTATCACTTATGGGGTTAAGGAATTTTTGGAATTACTCATATGGGGATAAAATTTCAAGTGTTGGCAAGACTTTTTCGATAATACTGGGGCCATTGTTAACGCTTGCGTTTAGCTCAACTTCTACTCGAACACTGAATAACAGACATGTGACATGTGTGTAGAGACAGCTCTGATATTGCCGCGACCGCCGCGGCCGTGCTCCCTAGATTGCTTCTGCAGCAGATGTGTGAGCCCGCTTTAGGCTACATTTATTTTAGAAAAAGAATTAGGGTTCCACACAAAAAAATAAAATGTACCAAGGGAAGCATGAGTCGCTAGTAAATAATAGTATTATAATCTCACATATATATTTTAATCTCACAAATAACGCGAATAACCGAATATAATGTTTCATAATTTTGTTTATGATAAAAAAGTACAACAGCTTATTTCTTTTATTAAGTTACGTAATTCCATCGATCAAAAAAGGACTTTTTGATCGATGCGTAATGCTTATCAATATAGTAAACATCATTGTTTACGTAAACAAAGATGAATATCTTACGTATTTTCTTTCTTTAAGATTTGTTTTTTCCCGATTTAAAAGAAGTAAGAGTTTATTTTTTTATAAAATAATAAAATCGTATTTAATGTTATTGTAAAGAAAAATAAAAATGTATAGATCAATGCCTCCTGTGAGGATTGAACTCACGACCCCTGGTTTACGAGACCAGTGCTCTACCACTGAGCTAAAGAGGCGATGAGAGACATCGCCAAATTGCGATACATATAATTCTCCCCACAAAATGTTTGTATCTATCTTACAAATATAATCTAATAATATGTTACCTTATATCTCCGTTGGACTTATCTGTGAAATTAAGACAAAGAATTCTAAAATTAATCAAAATAAGTGTCTTTAAAAAAAAAAAAAGATTTAGTTTTTTTATTTGATCATTTATATTGTTTGATTTTCGAGATTTATACAGATTCAAAATGTTCTAAGATATGACTTCATTGCATTCATATTAAAGTACATACGTTAGAAAATTAAATCTATATACTTATTACATGAGCTAAAAAAAGCTAAATCCTTTTTAAAATAATAACAACAATGTATGTACTATTCCTACAAAGAAACAAAAGAATTGCCGAAACCCGGGATCGAACCAGGGACCTTTAGATCTTCAGTCTAACGCTCTCCCAACTGAGCTATTTCGGCTGATTGACTACAATTCAAAATACTTGTATACATAACTGCTTTGCATCTATCCATTATTTTTTATTAATCATCATGATTTTATCAGGTTTAGGAAACACAATGTATTTAAAAATATAAACAAAAAATGATATTTTTAATGATGATAATATAATAATTGATAATATTTAAAGAAACTGCACTAGCTCCATCTATAATTTCATTAGTGAACTCATGGGTAACCAAACTTAATGTTTTTAACATCATATACCATAGATGGCGCTTTTAGCTTAATATTATCATTAATTGAAGTACTGTAATCTATTGACAAATGGCCATTTGTCTTGTGAAATATAAATTTGGAGAAATTAAAATTAACAAATTTTTGTCTGTTTCAATTAATATTCAAGTATTCACAAAGTTGTTTTATAACAGTTTACAACAAACTATATTTCCCTATACATACAATCAATTATCTTAAATTTGTTTTGATTTGATCCAGATTGTTATATTGTAACAAGCTATAATGTTATCAATATTATATATTTAAGGCTTTTGATCAAATGATTGAACTTACTCAATTCTTCAACCTGCACAGCCTTATCCTCAGCAATCTGTCCCACATCATCCAAAACAACACCACACTTTTTATATAACTTACAACGCAATTGCATTAATTTTTGAGTTTCTTGAAATTCTTTAATTTCATCCTGAAATATGAGAATAGGGAAATCACAGTAGGAAAAAGAAAAATTAAAATATTATCCAATACACTAATTAAGGGGTTATTTTTATTTTGTTATTTTTAATATTTAAAATCTAATATCATCACTTATATAATTATATATATAATACATAGTGATATAGAATTTTGTATAATTAATATTTACTATGGTGCATAAATCGTATTAAGGAAGCTAATTTACCTTTAATTCTTTTAATCTTGTACGAGACCTACTAGAGAAACACTGCCTTACATGAGAATCAGACCAACTGACTTTATCAGGGGCCACAATTGAAGGTGCAGAGTTTCGACTACTTTCACTACGAACTTTGTTTGGTAAATTCTTTTTATTTGTAAGAGGCGATTTAGCAGGATCGAGAGACTTCAAAGTTTTCTTTGGTTTGGCGCCAGATTTGATATTTTTTGGTTTTATAGAAGATGTATCAGGTTCATAACCATGTAGTACTAAAGGGAGTTCCTTAAAAATACTGGAATTTAAATTTGCAGCACTTGTTTTCGCGCCATTACGCAAAGAAGTTGGAGTTTCGTGACGAGTAACACTAGAAGATTTTAAATGCGAATGAGTTCTGTTGTATACACGAGGCATAACTCTGTCATAATAGTTTTTACGATCACTAGAATTTTTATCCATTTCATTCACAAATGTTGTTAAAATAAGTAAAAATCTGTTACAATAACAAACGAATTGAACCGTAGCGGGCAACAGCGTGTTGTGACAGCAATTGTCATTTGTCACTTGACATTTGTCTATATGTATATATCATGGATGACAAATAAAAGTATATATGTATAGCAATATATTCTATGCATTTGTCAAATACACGCATAGAGTATATTGCAACATATATAAAAATACAAGCTTCAGCTTGACTTCGGAATGTTTTTTTAATATTATCATTTATCACAAGCAAAGGTTCATGTTACTTTTAACCACGGAAAAGAAAAAAAAATTAAAACTTTCCAGCTTTATTTTATATTTTATAATATGTTCGATGCCTCTAGTCAGGCTATTATGATTTTCATATTGCATAAAATTGATTAAAAACTATTACGGGATTCTAATTAGTAAAATTTATTGAGATTTGAAAGTTCAAAAATACTGTTATTAAGTAAAATTATTCATAAATATACAGTTATTTAGAAATCAAGCTTTCTCCTTTGGATGAGGCGCATCAAAGTCGCCAACGTTTTTTTAGGTTTTGTGTCTCTAGTTACAAAAACGAAAAAGGAATTAAAAAAAGAGCCTACAAATGGTTTTCAGTCAAAATTTTTTGATTTGCGTATTTTTGGAAATATACGATATTTTTGCAAACACACATTTACTGGCTTTAATCGTGATGCAATATATCTTATTAGCCCGATTTCTGATTTTTGCAATAATCAGTAAAAATACGCAAATTTGATTTTTAGGCGCATTATTTCAGTTTCCTTTTGATAATGAGAAAATTGAATAAAAAATAATGCAATGCCATCTATTTGAACTAATTCTCTTTGTCAACCTACTTCTTAAAAAAGGAGTTTCTCAATTTGGCTACTACGAATAAATAATTATTTATTCGTAGTTCGCCTGTATTTTTTTTTCATAAAATACTCCACAGAAATATTTACCTACTATGAAATATTATGTTTGCAGTCAATAAAATGAATGTTGAAGATGAGTAAATATTTTATTTTACTTTTAATTAATCTATACTAATATAATAATGAAGAAAGATTTTTTTGTTTGTTTGGACCAAATAAGCTCAGAAACTACTGAACTGATTTTAATGATATTTGGTAAAAAGATAGTTTGATACTCTGGGAAGGACATAGGATAGTTTTTATACCGGAAATCATCCCTTAAGGGGGTGAAAATGGGGATGAAAGTTTGTATGGGAAAGCAACCTAGGGATGAACCAGAGTGAAGTGAGGGTGCGTTGCTAGTCTAACAAATATGTAAGTTAAACCATTTGAGTAATTACCTAAAAGTAATTGAAATAATTTTATTTTCTTAATTTAACTATTTAATATATATGGCAATTGTTGCTCAGTATTGCCCAGTAGCATAGAATCTAAAGTAGTTATAGTAGACTTACTATATAGTATACAACAGCATATAAAATATTTTAAAATAATCTGGTGACAATGTTTATACAAAACAGTCTCTAAAAGCACTTATTTCCTTATAAATATAATAAAAAAATCATAAATTTCATTTTCCAAGCAATTCATTATGCTTAGCTTCATATATACTTTTGGCTTCATTCAAATATTCATCACATAAAGCAGTTATTTGTTTGTTCACATTAAAAACTAAATCTTCAGAAACTCCAGTCTGTTTTTTATTCTTTTTAATATACTCATTCTGGATATCTTTAACAGCATCTCTGCACTGGATAAATAAAGATTTAGCATTTTTTGCCAATGCTTCTCTGTGCTCTTTTGTAACTTTAGGCACTGGTACATATAATGTTGTTCCATCTTGTTGAGGATTTAAATTAAGGCCTGAGCTATGTATTGCCTTTAAAACATCTGGTATAACTTGTGGGAAAGATGAAAAGTTTATGACAAGGGTTTTAGGGTTTTTTCTAACTATTTGTGCTAGTTCTTGTAGCTCATAATCTTTACCATCATACTTAATTTGAAGAGTATCTATAGCACCAGTTGTTGATCTCAGAGAGAGGTTTTTAGCAAAATCTTCTTTCATCTTTTCAATAGCATTGTGACATCTACTTTTAAGTTTTTCTATAGGAACCAACTCGGATATCATAGTTGGATTAATATCAACTTTTCCACCCCCTTTACTACTCTTTTTATCTTTACCTCTATCTTTGCTTTTAGCATAGTTTCTTAAAGTTGTTAGATTTGTGCCGATGGTAATAATTTTTTCGTGTTCGCTTATGAGGTTAGGTTTAATTATCTTCGAATTAACACATAAAGGAATTATAACACGACTCAATAACCTAGTCACCATTTTTTCAATGATTAAGCTGTGGATTTACAAAAAATCGCAAATTTGTTCATATAAAGAAAATTCGATAAAGTGAAAATAAAAACAGATCACAAACCCAACAAGGTCAACAGTGTCAACCATAGAGTATATTGCTACATATATAGTGTCAACTGTCAACTATGAACTGTCAAAAAAAAACTGCCTCGGTGGTGTAGTGGCTAGCATGTACGGCTGCACACCTGGAGGTCCTGGGTTCGAGTCCCGGGTCGGGCCAAGTTTAGTTATTGAGTCTTTCTGTATAGTAAGTCTCAGTAACAGCCCGGAGTTGGGAAAATGGCGGTGTTTCACCCCCGTGCCTCGGAGAGCACGTAAAGCCGTCGGTCCTGCGCCGATACTCTCACTGGTCGTGTCGAGCAGTCGTCCCACCGGAGTATGAGAGTGACAGGAATAGAGAGTGCACGTTGTGTCTGCGCGTACACTTGTGCACTATAATATCTCCTGCGCAGTTGGCTAGTCTCAATGAGATTGGCCGCTGTAGCTGGAATTGGCTAGGAGAACATCATGAACTCTCAACTAGGTATTCAATTATTGTGTAATGTTCTGAGTTCTGACAACCGAAACCGATCAGAATGAAGAAACTACTAAAAAATATTTTTGTACATTAGGTATAAATTTCGGTACTAAAATCCAGACTTAAATCACTCTACTATAATGGAAATTAACAAGATACGAGACATGAAATATAAATTATGGTTATAAAAAATAGTAATACAAACAATATAACTTCTGGTTAACTGAGTGCAATAACAAAACGCAAATGAAAATGAAAATTAAATTTAATTGTCTACATTTAGAGTATAATTTTATATCGTTCTGTGGATAATTTGAGTTTTATTATTTATATAATTATCTTGGTAAATTCACATTACTTACGTTTTTCTTGGTTAATATTTATAAAATGCAGAAAAAATTAAAATACATATTTGTAATTTTGTTTGACCACTGATATGTTCTTCGAGCAATAACAATTATTGTTATCAGTTTAAAATTATAAATCTAGGACGATTTATCATCGTCCTAGTTATAAATTATAATTGTCAAATTGTCAATGTCAATGGATTGTCAAAACTGACATGTTATGTACTTACTACAGTTCTAGATAAATTTATAAAAATGTCTGTGTTATTTCAGACAGGAAAATGTTTACTTAGAAAGTCATTTAATAAAACATTTTGTAAATATGTATTTTTACGAAAAAACTCAGGTACTTCTTCAGTTTTCTTAACTGTAAAATTATATTAAATTAACGCTTATAGGTTATGTTTCAATTTCAGATGTTCCAAAAAAATTTATAAGTTTTGATGAAATAGTAGCACAAAGAAGAGAAGAGGCACGACGAAGTATCGTGGTTCAGGTTAACTCGGACTCTTCCTTTAATGAATTGTACGGATATTGTTCTAAATATGCTTCAATTAATGGTATTCATCATTATAAAAATAATGGTGGAGAGGTAATAATTTAAAATTTTCAAAATGTTGTGCTTGCATATAATTAAAAGATGACTCAAATGAATTAGTGAAGACTTAATATATTTATAATGTATAAATACAACTTCTTACAGCATTTCATGCTCATTGAATTTGGCTCAGAAGGTGAAGTTCAAGATGTCCTACGGTCTTGTGGGTCTCATCACAAAGATTTTGACATTATGGCAGTACAGTCACCATTTCTGTGGTTCAGAGCAGCTTCTGGTGATAAAGAAAATTTAGGAATGAATGAAAAAACTCTTACAATTAAAAATGGAAATGATCACATGGATGAAAATATATTATTTGAGGATTTAATTAAATGTGAAACTATATCAGACCAAATACAATTATTGTATCATAGAACAACAATAAACGACTTAGGTGTTAGACTGCGGTACATGGTTGCTAGGCAGGTAGGATATGATTGTTTTTTTTTTATTGATAATGTCTTTTAATTATATCTAATATATTTAAACGAGCAATTCTTGTATATAAATTCAAGGGGTTTTGGGGGCGATAAATCGATCTAGATTAGTCTTTATGTCTGGGAAAATGCGTATTTTTGAATTTTCATGCGGTTTTCTTTTGCTATTCCATGCAAAATATGGTCAGTAATTTGTACACTCGGGGAATAAGCATTGTGGTCAAGCGGCCAAGGTGTAAGATCAACAATGACAGGTGTTGGTTCGAATCTCGGTCGCATACAAAGTTTTTACTTTTGTTTTTTTTAATATGTATTCAAGTTTTTTTTTTAAAGACGCAAGATTGACAATCATAGTTGTCCGGGTTCGAATCCCGGTCGTATACAAAGATATATTTTTTTTTGTTTTTTTTTTGTATTTATTCAAGTTTTATATATATACAATTAATCTTAGTCCAAATGAAATGCAGTTAATAAATAATAAAAATAATGTATAAAAATTCATTTCAGTTGGAGATAGTATTTAAAAGTCTATATGCAAACATCAAAATGCAGCCATTTGGTTCTTCTGTGAATGGATTCGGTAGAATGGGCTGTGATCTAGATTTAGTGCTGACTAATGATTTAACTGAAGACATGGTAAGCTTGTGTTCAGCATGTAGTCATTTATTATGGGTTTGTTTTGTTTTTTAGTGTTCCTTATCTCAAAAGGAACCCTTATAGAACCACTTCGTTTTTGTCTGTCTATCTATCTGTCAAGGGCCTTTTGCTCAGCAACATGGAGATGGAGATATCAGATTGAAATTAATATCAAATAACAGGTTTCTAGGAGTTGTGGAAAAATTGAAATTATAAGTCAATACAATCAAAAGACAGCTGTAGCCATTTATGCCACATATTTGGCACTTGCAAGAGAATCAAAATACTTTCAATTAACCTAGAAACACAAAATTTGGCAAGAAACAATGTCTTATAGCATATGTAAAGGAAAAGATCCAAAAACCATAAATTTGTAGTTACATTACAAAAAAAAAATTTTTTTTTGCGATTATAAACTTATTTTAATGTTTCATGCTAGTGGAACCCTCAGTCGAACTTCCACTTGCTTGATTTTTATATTTTTAGGTATGTTTATTTTGCATTAGTTTTTTTAGCTGGTTTGTTTGATTTAATTTTTACAATATAATTTAAGACATCACCAAACAACCGGTTAGTGTATCAAGAAAAGAAATGTGAAGGTGGACGCACACCCTGGCAAAGGCATATGGAGCTAGTGGGTGCACTCCTGGAATTGAGGATTCCGGGAGCTTCCAGGGTACAAAGGATACTGAATGCAAGGGTTCCTATAGTAAAATACTCCCATGAATTGGCAGACGTAGACTGTGATCTATGTTTTAATAATACGTAAGTTGTTTTTCAACTTATATTAATAAGTATATATTCTTCTTATATAATACCTTCATGAGTGCTACTAGTAAGTAACATAATTCGTTGGCTCACTATTACAAGGTTCTATGTATTAAGCTGTTTTTATTTGTCAGTGAATTCAAGGCTATTTTTGTTTTATGAATTATGTTTCAAAAGTATCTTTTCTGATTTTATTGTGGTTTTATTTTATATTTATTTCATTACTTTATTCGAATATGTTTTTGGTCCCGACAATTTGAATGGTTTAGAAAGTAATGTATGTAATGTAATAGACCATTCCAAAGACACCTTAGGGCTGTGGCAGGCGGCACATGGACCAGACTAGCTAGATAGACAGTTGTGGAGGAAATTGAAGGAAGCCTTTGCCAACAAAGGGCAAACAGACGAGGTTGTAGGGGCAGAATAAACTTACTATATACAAAAAAAAAGATAAAAATATAGAATAAGTAAAATGCAATCAAATATTGCTTAAGTAATTTGTCATACATGTTTAATTAAAAAGAAAACAATTGAATATAATTTGTAATCTTAGCCATGTCTGAATAAAGGCATATATTATTATTATTAATGTATGTAATGATGGTCACGGGAAATACTAGAATTTGCGTAAATTTAAGAAACTCTATAATAATATATATAAAATCTGAATTGCCAGGTCCGGAGTGTACATGTCCGAGTTGCTCTGGCAGTTCGGGGAGCTGGACAGGCGCGTGCGGCCGCTGGCCTTCGCGGTGCGGCGCTGGGCCAGCGCGGCGGGCCTCACGCACGCGCACCCCGGCCGCTGGGTCACCAACTTCCCGCTCACCCTCATGGTGCTGTTCTTCCTCCAACAGAAGAGTGTCGCGATATTGCCCTCTTTGAAATATCTGGTTGGAAATGCTGGTGAGTTTGGTGTGTTTTGTAGATTTTGTCAGATTATTTTAGGGTTTATGATAGTGTAAAGTGAAGTATTTTAAAGTGTGATTTTGTTTTTTGATTTCATACTACATTAATACCGAAAACACCATTTGATTACTTATTTTTGCAGATTATATTTTCTGAATCTTTTGGACGTAAAAATTATAATCGGAATTCGGTGCGCATATGAAATTTTAGTAAAGCAATGAGTTAAATATAGAGTAAATATTTTTCTTTATATTTTAGGGGTCAAAGTTTCAAATTAATGGATTTCTTATAAGGATTTTTTAAAGACACATCTTTATAAACATAGAGCATTGATAATTTTCTGCTCCTTTGAAACTGCTGAACCAAGAACCTCTTTATAATTGTCTTTCTTGTTCTTTTTATTTAATAATACTTCTTGTTGTTTTTTTAATTCACCTTTCGTTAATTTTAAGGCAAAGAAGACATTAGAATAGCTGAAGAGAATCTCAATTGCACATTCCTACGAGACCTGAACAAGTTGCCGGCCGACTCGTACGGACAGAACGACTGCGACTTACAGACACTGCTCTTCCAGTTCTTCGAATTTTACTCACAGTTTGATTTCGCCGATAAAGCAATATCTATCAACGAAGGACGGCCGATAAGAAAACCAAATGCCCTCCCTCTATACATAGTAAATCCTTTAGAACAAGCCCTAAACGTCAGTAGAAACGTAAGTTATGAAGAATGTGAACGGTTAAAGTTAGAAGTCCGGAACGCCGCATGGTATTTAGAGGGATGCTTAGAAAACAAGAAATCAGAAGACTGGGGTATCTTAGGCCTCATAGAGAAAAGGTCTTCGAGAGGGTTAAAGAAACTACTCAGAGTTGGAAATTCTCATAGGCTAGTGTCGGTTAAGGATCTGTTCACGGATGATGATGATCAGCTCCCCAGTGAAGGGTTGAGGTCTAAATTGCAGAAGATTATAAAGACTGATAAACAAGTGGAGGAAAATGTGAAAGATATGAAAATTGGGTTGGAGAAGAAGGAGAAAAAAGTGGAAAAATTTAAATTCAAGAACAGTCAGACTGCGAGTGAAGTGTACAGAATAAGGAGGGACAAACTTGTGTGATTACGTGTTTGAATGTGTGATGTTGCATGAGGCAAAACCTATATTATAGCTACTATAGGATCTTTATTTTAGATAGTTCTTTTTATAGATATTGAATACTTTTTGTTGAAATTGCGAATCGAAAGTGTTGAATCTAATAATTGTTTAAAAAATATTGGACCAATTACGTTCTCTTAATATACCAAAACTATTGGAATCTAAAAAGAGGATTTTTTTATTCATTTTTCATTTCCGTTTTATTTTAACTAAAAAAAAATAAAGTTGTTAATATTTTGTGTGGAAAGGTTTATTATAATTGATATCAATGTCTGTGTGATTGTATCGAGGGGTGTTTGTAAAAGAAAATTCTTTGTAAGAAACATTGTTTATTTGTAAATAAAACTTTATATTAATACAAAATAAATTCACTTGTTTGAAATCAATAAGGCTTTATTCCCGAATATACTAAAATAACAATGCTTATTTACATCCTATTGATTCTTCGAGGTCAATTTGATTATTATCGTTTTAATCTCTCTACAAATATATCTATTTTAGGGTTAATGTCACCAAATTTTTCCATATTTTCACCTCTAATCAACTTTTTATATAAAGTTAAGTTGTCGTTGCATAATTTTTCGAATGTTTTCTTATATTTATCTTGGTTGATGTTAATATATAAATATTGGCAGATGTCGTCTGTGTCGGCTAGTATTTCCTTGATGGCGTCGGCGCAGTCGCGTGTCCATATCGTTTCTTCCAAATACACATTGTATTTCTCATTTTGGTCAAAAACACGGCTCTGGAATAGAGTAAAGAATTTTTAGGAAAAAAGATTTTTTAGGAATTTTAAACTTGAAAAAAAAAACTGTTTTTATCAAACTAAAGACACTGTAAGACGAATCAAATAAACTAAAACTAGTAATCATTGAAAAAGTCTACTTCATTTCTTGGCTTTGTCATGAGACTCTAGTTTTTATGTTATCCTAACAGGATATCCCTCTTGTCGTAATAATATCGTGATTCAGATATTATTAATTTGCATATATGTGACATAATCTGTTACGTAAATAAAGTGCTGCACTGATTTCAAATTTCAGTCAACAATTAGCAAAGATGACGTACACAAAAAAACATATCTAATAAAAAATGTCTAAAAATAAACTACAAAATAATTTCTAAAGCCAATAAAGTAACCTCATCGCTGATGTCGTCGGTGACGCACACCTCCGCGCGGAAGTCTAGCAGCGCGACCACGGCCAAGACCATGGCGGCGTCCGCGCCCGCGACCATGGCTGCGACCACGCGCCCGCGCGCCGCCGCCGCGACCACGCGGCCGCGAGCCGCGCGCCGCCGCACGCTCTCGTTGTCGTCTTCCAGAGCGGCGACCATTGTTGCGTACACAGTTGCGAGGTACTCGACTGTCAACAGTTATTTATTATTATTGTTATGATTATTCAGCAATTTAGAATTAGCCATGTGCCGGGCGCAGGCTGTCGTGCACGACGAGGTCGGCCGCCGCCGAGCGCGCGCGGACGCACATGTCTTTCGACAACTCGCTAGGTTCTCTCAGACATGCAGGTTTTCTCACAATACAAATGGTAATGATGTTAGAAATGATTCGCACATAAAAATATACATATACCTATTCTTTTTTAATTTTCATCCTCAATTGCCAAAGAGTTTATAACTTTACATATTAAAAACATTTTTGTTTGAATATTTTTTTTAATAAATAAATATGTACAGTACATAAACTATAAAAAAATACTCACATCGTTCCTCCTCATTTAGTTCAGTTAGAGGTAAGTTCAAAAGCACATTGTAATTGTCCTCTAAGAACTGAGCCACCACAGTCCTCGTCTCATCGCTGTTACCAGACAGACTACATTCAAAAATAACCCTTAAAACCTTCAAAATATCGCCATCCTTTATTTCATTAGCTTGCAATTTCCTATTAAAGAAACTGCATAAACTCCCCAAATACAAATGAACCTGATTTTCGTGTTCGTTCTCTATGCAATCGATGAGTTTCATCAAAACCAGCTCATCGGTTACATCTAATAGTTGATATTTCACACGTATTATATCTTTTTGACTCCCATCTTCTAAAGTCAACAGCTTCAAAGATTTCTGTTTGCATTCCAAATATCTAGATTTTAATACATCACATAATACTTCTTTATATTTTTTATCGTTTTTGAATTTTTCTAGCGTATTTTTATTACAAATTTCATTTAAATGTTGTTGGAAGTTGTTTTCCAAGTCAATTTCTTTGTAAAGTACGAGTAAATAGTTCAAAGCTGACAGGACTACGTCATAGTTGTGATGCGAGAGGCACTTGTATACAAACGTGTGTGTATCGATTTGTTTGTATGTATACATTATAAGCTTTAAATACACAGCGTTAGACTGGCACAGTTCTTTCCCTGGATTTATTGGGAATTTGTTCTCTTTGAAAATTATGTCACTTAGAACATTTTCAATGTGGTCTGAAAAATCATCTGTTACAAGTGATTTAAACCTAAAAACATAAAACAATTAAAGCAAATATTTTCCTTTATAGTAAAAGATTAATTATTTAAGTTTAAATAAAATTATTTTTATTCTGGTTGTTTTTGAGGTTTTTTTACTTAGATTTTTTGTTCCCGACTTTTTGTTTCAGTCACGAGAGAAACTAAGGTTTTGGACGTCTCAAAAGCCAGTTATTACAAACAGTATCTCTCAACATGCTACTTATTATGTAAAGAAAAAATATTTTAATTTAAAATACCAATCAAATATTACAAAGTCTCTATTTTTAGCTTTTTTTTTTCAAAGCTTCAAATAAGCAATACCTCATTACAAGTATATTAATCATGTTAATATATTCATCCGCGAGCATGTAGCACGGCCTCTCCCCTACACCTTGCTCTAAAACCCAACTCGACTGCTTGATGAGTTCTGTCAATCGTCTGTGCGACTCCTGGTCTATGGCCAAACTCTCTGGTTTAGTTTCGAATAATTTTAAAAGCTGTAAATATTAATAAACATTTTTTACAAATTTTAATTATTTATTGAAGTAAAACTTCTTTACGCGTGACTGAGGGCTATTTTACTACATTGAGTAAAATGAGTGTCGCTGAAGTGAGTAAAACTTGTTATTTAATAATAAAAAAAAAATATATTACATTTATATTTTCAAAATAATAATATTATTCATAAAAATGAATATTTATTACTATATTTTTTTTAATAATTATTATATTTATATTTTGATTTGTTTCAATTTAATTGCAATATCTGCCACAGCGTCAAAGAAGTTTTAGGCACTCATTTTTTATTAATCTTGTAAAATGTTTTTTTTTGTGTATTACAATAAAGAGTTTATATAATTATTACTCTCTCTAAGCCATAAACAATTTTTTTGTGAAAATAAAAAAAACAATTTCAGATGGCACACTCATTATTTACATTATAGCAAAATAAAATATTTTAATAATTTTAATTATTTCTATTAACCAGTTACCATCATACCAAATTTCATCAAAATCTGTCCAGTGGTTTTCTCGTGATGCGGTAACAGACAGACAAAAACTCTAAAAACTATGGATTCGGCCTCTGTATCGATAATAATGTCTATTTCAATAACATTTTACAAAAATGTTTAATGTACAGATTCGGTTTAGCCACAATTTTATTATATGTATAGATTATTGATTTATTACTATTCTAATTCTTTAAAAAAACTAACCTGCAGTATAACCCCATGACAATAATTTTTTTTAATATTCTGGTCACATATTATTTCGAACATACTCTCTATGTGTGAAACGTATCTGAAAATAAATAAATAATGGTAAATAACTAAATTTAAAAAACGCTAAATTATCAAATGCTTGAGATAGCCAGGTTTGAGACATCGACTACAGACAGTCGGTAAACCGTTTAGTTCCAAATCGTTCGCTTTACCTTCAAACCGCTTGATATGAAAATTGGTATTTTTACAACATTATACATTAACGTTAAAATCAAAGGCAATCGCTTATCGTATTCAAATTAAAGAATAAATTATTCTAAAGTTGGCGTTGACGTTGGCTTTGACATGGCTATCTCACATCACATCGTGGTAGACTCATGAGTCTATCACGATGAGATAGCCATAGAAGAACTAAAGCTCAGTGACTACAAATATTTTTTATATTGTACAGTACTCGGTTTTTTTAAGGTTCATTGCCGAGCACGTGCCGCCCTCGCATTAAAATGTGCAAAGGATATCAGATATAGTCCACCAAACTGGCCTAGTGCAGTGGACTTCACATGTTATCAAATTTGCTAGTTTAAACGTAGAGTGATATAATATAGTAGTATAGAGTAATGTAGAGCGACATAGAGTAATGTAGAGTGGTATAAAGCAGTGGTTCCCAATTTTTTTTCGTCACGGAACCCTAGTTGGTCATAAATTTTTTTAAAGGATCCTCTATTTTGATAATAACTAAGTTGATTGCGTTGTAGTGAGAACACTTTCTTGTTTGTCTTAAAAGTATGAAAAATATTAATAATTATAATAATATTTATTGTAAATTGCAAAAAAATAAAAAATACATTTTTGGGGTGGACCACCCTTGTCACTCAGGGGTAGGAAAAATAGTTTACGTCCTACTCTCAGACCTACTAAATATACACACAAAATTTCATAAGAATCGGTCGAGCCGTTTCGGAGGAGTTTTGTTACAAACACTGTGACACGAGAATTATATTAGATTTATAATAATACTAAAATTCTCCTGTGACACTTTCACGGGTCCATCATATTTTGGGAACCGCTGATATAGAGTAATGTAGAGTGACATAGAGTAAAGTAGAGCGACATAGAGTAATGTAGAGTGCTATAGAGTAGTGTAGTTGGTTGCGCGCACCGGTCGCGCGCCACGAGCGTCTGGAGAGCGCGCGCGGCGGCGCGGCGCACACGGCGCTGGGCGCAGCGCGCGGCCCGCGACAGCGGCGCCGCGAACGCCGCCAGCTGCACGCACGAAATATGTACATTAGCGGTGTGCGAATAATTCCAACTCGCGAATTATTACTTCCGAATCGAATATTGATATATTCATTATTAATTTCATATTTGAATACCGAACAAAATTCTGAATTCAAAATACGAAAAAAAAACGAATTTTTCGGAAACTTTTGAAATAATTCGAAATTTCGAATGTCAGATCTAAACGAAGAAAAGAACCGAGTTATCCCAACACATTACATTTCGCAATTTAGACAAAATTTTAATTATATTTTAACGATTCATCTATTTCTGAGGGTTTTGGTGAATACTTTAAAGATGTTTTTTTGACCATGCATCAAATAATGTAGATCAAAAATAATAATTCAGATAAAAATTTGCGCATAGAAATACAAAACACGCGTGCAATTTTTATTGTGCTTCTTGTATGTTCATTTATTAACTACTGCTGTTTTATGAAAAAAATAATAAATATAAGTAATACCTTCAAGTTCGAAACTGTTCCTTCTAGAGACGAAGGATAGAGTCGTGCCAGCAGCAGCAATATGGGATATAGCGAAGGGCGCAGGGTTTGCTCTTCATTGTTCTCACTCATTTCCTTCAATTTGTCCTGAAAAAATAATATAAATTTTCTTAAGATCCATGCGATCTATCCTCGTTTTGTGTGGGTGTGTCTTTAGATGTCCTATATATCCATATTCCATACTAATAATCATATTATAAATGTGAAAGTGTGTTTGTTTGTTTGTCCTTTTTTCACGTCGAAACGGTGTTACGGATTGACGTGATTTTTTGTGTGGAGATAGTTGGAGGGCTGGAGAGTAACATAGGCTACATTTTATTGCAGGAGATTACTTAATTCCCACGGGAAAACACGTTATAATACAGTCCATAAAAATATGTACTCTCAGGATTACTTGAAACTTTGTATATATACTCTTCAATAAAATTAAATAAATACGTGCATTAGCATTTTTCAAAATTTATTTTATAAGGAGGTAAAATAGGGGATAAAAGTTTGTATGAAACTACCTTTTTAGAGTTTTTCTGTAGTTTTAGCGCGAGCGAAGCCGCGGGTTCTGCTAGTTTACTATAATATGGATGCTTTTAGAAGAAACTGTTTTCAGTGACTTTTTCAAAAAAGTCATCATACCGATGGCTTATGTTCACAAAAAGTTTTTCAATTATAGACTAGAATTTTCTTTGACAACCCTTATTTTTAATGGAGAAAATTGTTTCAAAATTCGTAAAGAAATTTTTGAGGTTAGCCTGAACAAATAAAATTCAACGCAGTTAGGACTTTCCGTTATAGTTGTAGTGATATAAGAGAACCTATATTGTTTTCCTTGTTATGGAATGTAAACTATAAAATAACTTCAATATTTTTTGGACATTTGTTAGTGTGTGTAAAGACTACAGATATCGATATTCTGTGCGAGTGTGTGCGTGTGCGTGTGTGTGTGAGTGTATGCGTGTGCGTGTGTGTGTGAGTGTGTGCGTGTGTGTGTGAGTGCGTGCGTGCGTGTGTGTGTGTGTGTGTATGTGCGTGCGTACGTGTACACTCACGAGCATGAAGTCGTAGAGCGCGGGGTAGCGCAGGAAGAAGACGCGGCCGGTCATGCGGCAGCGCGCCACGCCGAACACGCGCACCACCAGCGCGCTGAACAGCAGCGTGGCGGAGTTGCGCTCCTGGGGGTTACACATTGGTTATACTACTATACTGGTGAATGCCAAGCTCCACTTGTGATACTGGGGGTTTTGGCTAAATAAAACACGTTTCGCCAGTGAATAGAATGCATTATCAATTATCAGTGTTGAGAGTTGTGATGACCGCATGTGTGCACCCGGCGAGAGGTGGCAAGCGAGACGAAACAGATTAAATCCCGAGCCACTGGCGTCCCTCGTTGTAACGTAGGAACACATAGTAAATGACAATGAGCGTCGAGAGAATACTATAAGAAATTGTGCGCTTTATTTCAAATCTCTTTTGTTCATTGCTTTTCGAATGACAAAATTAAAACGCAAGTTGTTTATGTTTAAAAACATACTTTATGTGCGTATGTTTGAATTTTTGTTAAGACAATAAGAACTTCCGATTTTTTGTTTTTGAATTTATTTTTTGATTTGATTTAACGTTACATATCGATGCCATTTTTTTAAGAGATATTTAAAAAAATAAATGTTTTTTTAATGCATATATCTATGTAAATGACGTTCGTGCCCAGCTGTGGGGCGTAGACAAAGGACAATATTACTCACAATCCAAGTATCGGCATCGAAGCCCCTCAAGGCCAGCAGCAGGCCGTCGGCCGCGTGGGCGCCCGCCGCCGCCTGCAGCTGCGCGTCGCGGTATAAGGCGCGCAGCACGTTGAGGCAGTGGCAGCGCGCGGCGGCGGCGGGCGCCTCGCGCGCTAGCCGCAGCAGTAGCCTCATACACGAGTCGAAACTTTTGGAATTTGGTCTCATTTGGAGTTCCGTTATCACTAACGCCTGGAACCAAACGTATTTTAGGCATTAAATTACAAAATATTTAGAAAAAAATTGACAATTAAATTGGAGCCGTTTAAGTTATTGATGATATTTCTAATTCATAAATGTATAATGGAAAGGACAGAAGAAAAGGTCAGGGTATTGAAAATTTTTGAGGTAGGTTAATCGGTTTCGAGTGTGGAATGTGAATGAAAAAATATTTACAAAAATAAAAAAATCTACCTGTGTAAAAATAAACTAAAAAGATGAGAGAAAATTGACGTAAGAACATAATATTGTACACTCGGAGACATACCTATTATATATTTTATAATAGCTGCGTGTATGTATGACGTCTTAGATCCACCATTTTTATTTCTAATGATATCTATGTATATACTCTATGACACTCGCGATATCAAGACGAATGGAACGACGTATGAACTATCAAAACCGTTTAGTAATTACGAGGGAATATAGGATCAGACATACATACATAGAGGCCAAATGCATAACCCTCCTTTGGGCTTCACAGCAGTCGAGTAAAAAGCTATATAAATATATAGAGAATGGATTATATACACATGTATAGCTAGATGCATACCTGTATCATGAACGGCAGGCCGGCGCTGCGCCGCGTGGCGCACAGCTCGCCGCCGGCGCCGCGCTCTATCGTACACATCAGCTCCTTCAGCCACATCGATGGCAACGTATTTAATTCTGTGACTGACGCCCGCCACAGGCTGGACAGAAATAATTACGATCATATTCCTTTTTCTAATTTCGGTCACGGCGACCAATCTCACTGAGACAAGAGATCTATGTAGAAAACATGGTTGTGTGGTGCTAAGACGCGAAGAGGCGGCCGCTTCAGGTGGCACAAAATAGTGACGGCATTTAGGACTACTAATACCCCAGATACTTATTTACACACTCGATTTTTTTTGAAAGAGAACCACTTTTTTCGTAATTTGACAGAATTATCTAGCAATTGATATACACTGTAACGTATTACATACCTTTGGACGGACGGACAAATTATAAGGATATCGTTTTTTTGCCTTTTAGCTACGGAACTCTAATGAAAATTACCTAGAGAAGGCATATTCTACACTGGCATCATACTAAAAAAAACGCATGGCCCTGGTAGGAGATATTATAGCATTGTGTATGAAGCCACAACATGCGTTCTCTATTCAACTTCACTCTCAAAGTCCTATAGGTCGACTAACCAACACGACCGTTGAGAGTCAATACACATGACCGACAGTTTTACTTGCTGTCTGAGACACAGGGGTAAAACACTGCCAACTTCGCAACACCAGGCTACTACCGAGAATATCTTAATAGAAATACTCGATGACTAAACTTGGCCCGACTCGTGACTCGAAACCACGACTTCCGATTCTGCAACCGTAAACGCTAGCCACTACACAACCGAGGCAGTTCGAATTATAATATCTACTAGCTGACCTGACAGACGTTTTTTTGTACAAATAAATTCTGTGATTATAGAATATACAAAAATTGAATAGAAAAACTTTTATTTTTCCCCGAATGTTCCATTTTTTCTCTAAGAACCTTATTTCGGATTGTTACGAATATTTAAAAAAAATCAGACAGCATTTTATTTTTATTATGTATAGATAAATATTATACCCTGAAATGACGCTAATGTTATAAATGTGAAAGTTTGTGTGTATCATAATGGATTTTTGTCTGTCATGTCAGTCTCTCTCGTGATCGCTGTAAAACATTCGAAACATCGGAAACCACAAATCTAAATAAATCCGCGAAAAAATCTAAAAAGATAGTGTTATTTAAAATAGACAACTTTGATTCGACATATCTTTGAGTGGGGTCAGACAAAAACTAGTTTATAATATAAACTAGCAGTACCCGCGGTTTCGCCTGCGTTCCAACTTCCGATATGAACATCAGTTTTACAATAATGTATGGAAGTCTGTCCAATTTGTTCACATTTATGATTACTGCTTCACTCCCTTGAGTAGCAGCCTTCCTCAATAAACGGGTAATGCAAAAAGATTTTTCAAATAGGATTAGTCGTTTCCGAGATTAGCGCGTTCAAACAAACAAACAAACTCTGTCTCTTTATAATACTAGAATAGATAAGATAGGACAATGTACTCACGAAGACAGGAGTCTAGTGAAGCCCACGTACACCTGCTCGAAGGCACCTCTGTGTTTGGTCTCAGTCAGCAGTTGGATGAACATGTCCCCGACGCCTCGCACCAGCTCCAGGCACGCGGGGGACGCGGGTTCGAACACCGGGTAGGTCAGCACTTGAGACACTATTGTGCTGAGTATTAGTGACACCTGGAGGGTTATACATAATAATAAAAATAATACTTATAATTGTACAAATAAAAAAATAATATCAAAAAATTGTTTTTAATGATGACTCGCTGACCAAAGGCGACGGCGTAGAAACAAAAAATATAGCTTTTACCATTTACAGATATCAACTCAGATTTAGAAACCAATGGATTATATATGTCGCAGGTAAATTGTAAAAACAATTTCCCTTATATTTTCCCTTTTTTGTTTTGGTTTTTACAATTTCCCTGTGACATATACATATTATTTAAAAGAATTACAAATTTCAAATCACATTAAAAAAGTTCTAGGTTATCATGTGTTTGTGAAATAAGTACATTCATTATTGTACAGTATAAAAATGGTCTATTTAAGTGATATTTAAATGCGGGTTTAAATCTATAATTGTGTATTTAAAGCACTAAAAGAAACTTCATATAGAAATGAATTATAACCAGTCACAAATAATCTAAGTTTTCTATACATATAATAAAATTAACTAAACCGAATCTATACACTCAATATTTTTTGGAAAATCTTATTGAAATAAACAATATTATCGATACAAAACTATAGATACGGCATCTATAGTTTTTAGAATTTTTGTCAGTCTGTCTGTCTGTCTGTTACCGCATCACAGAAAAACCACTAGAGGGATTTTGATGAAATTTGATATTGTGATAGCTGGTTATCCGGCTCAACATATAGGATACTTTTTACAACGATAAAATATCTCATTTCTGAGAAAAAATGCAAAAAATGCATAAGAATTTGGTTTTAGATCATGTGAACGCGGGCGGAGCCGCGGGCAATGCTAGTTAATCTATAAAAATGAACAAATGGATGAATTTAACAAAATTAAATTTATACAGTTTACAAATTAAAAGCAGTGGTAACGCGCTCACTTGGAAAACCAAGAGTGGCAGTTTCAAATCTCGGTTTTCGCACATCTGATATTGTCATGTACGAATAATTTCCAACATGATTACCACTTGCCTTACGGTGAAGGAAAACATCGTGAGGAAACCTGCATGTCTGAGAGAACCTAGCGAGTTGTCGAAAGACACGTGAAGCCCGCCAACCCGCACATGGCCAGCGTAGTGGACTATGGCCTAATACCCCTCGTATTGTAGGGAGGCCCACGCCCAGCAGTGGGCAAATAGTATCAAACTAATCTATTTATGGGTAATTCACCTCTTTGACAGATCGCCAAGCGCACAGCAACACCATTTGCGCCGTTACTTCTCTGCCGTCTTCTAGACGAATGATACTGGAAGACATAATTAAATTTAATATATAACCAGAATAAAATGATAACGAAATGTGTTTGTAATAATTTGAATAATATTTTTTGTCTGACCGTGAATGGTCATGGTCTATCTTATTGGAGGAAGATGATAAAATTCAGTACCGCACTCTCTACTTTGCTGGCTCTCGTTGTCTTTTGGACGCAAGAGTGTAACACTATAAATTTTCTACCTATAGGCTACCACTAATCTAAAATATATACTTGGTTCGAGCGGGATATCGAATCGAAGGTTATCAGATCTGTAATCTATACTAGTATTATAAAGAGGTGAAGTTTTTGAGTTTGTGACGTTGTAGGGGGTAATCTCTGGGTTTCCTGAAACGATTTAGATAAAATTTTAATAAGAAGATAGTTTGAGGTCTCGGCAAGGACTTAGTACTTTTTTCTCGAAAATCATCTTTTAAGGGGGTGAAAATGGGGATGAAAGTTTGTGCAAGCTAGTTGTAATAAGGTACATAAGCCTAAGATAGCCCGGTTCCTAAGATGGCCCACTTTCGAAATTTTACAAGTTAATGAGTCGAATGAGTTTAAATTTCGCGCTCATGTGCGGTTAGTGCCATAGACAAAACTGCAAGTATATATGAAAGGTAGGGTGTCGCCATCTTTGTAATATTTGACAGTTTGTCAGATACGTTGCAAATGACTACCAATTTATAACCTCATTTTCACAATCTTTTTGGAATTTTATTTGAAAAATTAATTGTTTTTGTATTTTCTTCTATGTATAAAGTTACTTAAATTTGTGGGCATTCCTAAGAAGGTAAGTGTTGTTTGAATTCTTGGATAATTTTCATTTTAAAGAAGTTGGTCTTGTTACCGGGTAAAGTGCCTATATAGGCCCATCACACGGGTTCCTAAGATGGTCCGGGCCTTATTAGGACTATTGAATGTCATAGTTTATTAGAGAAAATGAGTCATTTTGGTTAAATTTTAGATACAGTTGGTAGTATTACAGTAGAATATTGAAAAACTTAAATTTACGTAAGTAACTACTTTATTCAACTTAAGGTTTGAAATTAAAAATTCTCAGTCGTTAGTATGCAGTGCTAATTTGTAATCTTCGTTTTCACTTACGTGGCCCAAATACAAAATAGATGTTTGAATCAGTTATTAGTAAATAAATTCTTTTTATAACTTAAAATTGAATTTTGATTTATTTTTAGATTACACAAAATGGAAACCAATAAGAAGCGACGTGGTGAGTGGACTGAACAACAGCTTAAATCAGCTATTGAATCTGTAAAAAATTGCAGTATGTCACAACGACAGGCAGCAGCTACTTTCAGTATCCCAAGAAGAACTTTGAGAAACCACCTAAAATCTGGCAGTGAAGAAAAGAGAACTGGTCGAGCAACTACACTAAGTAATGTCCAAGAAAAAGATTTAGCAAGACGAATAATACGATTAGCTGAAGTAGGCGTGCCGTTGACCCGCAAGATTGTAAGAAAGCAAGCCTACTTATTTTGTAAATCACATAAAATACCAAATTCTTTCAATGACACCAGATGCACTGCAGGCAGAAAATGGCTAAAGAATTTTTTAAAACGTAACCCTGAAATTTCTGTCCGTAAAGCACAGTTTATGAATTCTGCAAGAGCACAAAAATTAAATAAAGACATCGTGCAACAACATTTCACAGCTATCAAAAAGTTGTATGACGAATTAGATATTCCTCGACATCCAGAACGTCTATATAATATAGATGAAAAAGGTTGTCGGCTAACCTTGCATCACCAACAATATGTTCTTGCACAAAAAGGAAACAAGAGAGTGCATTTTATTGCACAAGAACATGCTGAAAACGTCACAATTGCAATGTGTGTAAACGCTTCAGGTAATTCGGTTCCACCAATGATCATTTTCAAAGGTAAAAGGTTAAGACCGGAATTCAACGACAATTTACCTGATGGCACTATAGTCAAAATGGCACCAAAAGGTAGTATGACTACTGATTTATTTATTGATTTTATACATCATCTTGGCAACTATAAGTCTCCCGGGAAATGTTTGCTAGTTTTTGATGGAGCTGCTTCTCATCTGGATGCTAGGATAGTGGATGCCGCAGATGAGAACAACATAGTATTATATTGTCTGCCATCCAATACCACTCATGAATTGCAACCTTTAGACAAATCGGTCAATAAATCCTACGAGCACCATTGGGATGAAGAAGTATTGTTGTACGCCTATCGTCATCCAGATCGTAAGCTCACCAAGGCAAGGTTTAACAAAATATTCTCAAAGGTATGGCCTAAATGCGTAACTCAAGATAATATAAAAAACGGTTTTAGAGCTACTGGGCTTCACCCCTACAACCCAAATGCGATTCCCGAGCAGGCTTTTGCACCTTCTATCCTCACTCAGCGGCCTATTTTGCATGAAACTGCTTCTAACTCAGATGATCCTGAAGCTCAAAATTTTGGAGAGTCAGCTGTGAATCACAATAATGACTCTAACACAGATTGTGAAGAAAGTTTACGTATATCGCCGTCACTGATAACTGAATATGTACATGTATTTCCACCACTTTCATCTCATTCTCAGCCACAGAGTCAATCGCCAACTTACGCAAGTAGGAAATTAGTTGACTACAGTTCCTCTTCCGAATCTGCTATTGGAGATATTGATGAACAACTTTCAGCAACAGGCACGATTTTATGTGATAGGGAGTCACAATTTCATTCTCCAATTCCAAGCACGTCTGGGTTAGTAAGACAGAATGTACTACGAAGACCAGTTATCAATTCTTCGGCATCAGGTTCAGACGACGAAAATATTGATATAAACGTAATCCAAAAATGCTGTCAACATTCTGCCAGGAACTGTAAGATTTATACATCATCAGAATCTGACGAAGAAAATCTGGATCCATCTAATGCAACAGCTGCTCACACACACCAAGAGACACTACGCATCAGACACGGGGAACATAATTCTGATGATTCTGACAATGAGCCGCTATCAAATTTGAAGCAAAATAAGAAGAAAACACAAAAGAGATCTCCATTTCACGAATTTATACCAACACCTAACTTTGCAATCATTAAGAGTAAACCAAGGCGAAAAGCAATAAATTATATTGGTCAAAGAGTAACGAAGGATTTGTTTGATGCTGTCCAAGAAAAAAAAGTTAGGGGACCAAAATCAGCAAAAACTAAAAACACTGGTAAAAAACAAAATATTATGAAAAAGTTAAAATATAAAAAAGTAAATGTAGAAAATAGGGGTTATGGGAGAGGGGCAAAAACAAGAGAAGATAAGGCTGAAAGGTGGTATTGCCGAGCTTGTAAATCGGAACGAATCGTAGATATGAGACAATGCATTGCTTGCCTTTCGTGGTACCACGAAGAATGTGTCGGACTAACAAAGAACGACATAGAGGACTTTTTGTGTCCAGAATGCAACTAAAATCTATCGTTTTTTTATTAATCGTTTTTTTTCTATACTCTTAATAAGGCCCACCGAAATTATGGAGGAAAATATTTTGTTAATTTGTTTTAAAAATTGTTGCTTATAATTTAAATAATCGTTAAAATAATAGAAGAAAAATGTTGTTTATTGATTTTATTAAGAGACTTTTGTTTTGTAGGTAGATTAAGTTTTGCTAAGCCTAAGATGGCCCACCGTCCAATATGTGACCAAAAAAACTATTGTAAGAAACTGATTACCTAAGAATATCATAATTTAGGCTAAGTTTTAAGTATAAACATGTTATTTGTTTTGATAGCGTTTATAAATTACATGATAAATATCGGGCTGTTTTAAGTACCTATGTTCCTAAAAAGGCCCACTTTAGAGGTTTTTAAAAACTATTATTTTCGTTTAGAAATTTAATTAAACTTGTTGATTTGTATGTTCATTTTATTCACAAATAAATGAGGAATTTTGTGATAAATTTTGTTTACAGAAAAAATATCCTTTTTATAATTATTTAATTATTGCAAAAAATGGGCCTTTCAAGGCGCCCGAACCTTATACTATTTCTATAGAAAGAGGTTAGGCTCAACAAGGTTGGCATTGTGACATAGGTGGTGGTTGAGGATAATGCCAAGTATTTTATATGAAATTCATGATTCAAAAGAACTCGTGGAATTGATTAAGTGAAGCAAAAATAAAATATGTTCGGACATTAACAACCTATCGTGCCTATAATATTTCCAACATGATCACAATCATCTATGTGAGAAAACATCGTGAGGAAACCTGCATGTCTGAGGTAATCTAGCGTTCTCGAAAGACATGTGAAGTCCGCCCAAGCTGTCCTTGACTAACGTGGCGGATTATGGCCCAATCCTAGTCGTATCGTAGAGCGGCCCGTGCCGGGGCTGAATACAACATAAGTATAATGTAGATAATGTGCCGAGCACCCGCCAGCCTACCCGTTGGCAGCGTGGGCGTGCACCGGCAGCGCGCCCTCCGGCGCGGCGCTGCTCAGCACGGCGCGCGCGCTGCCCGCCGCGCCCGCGCACGCGCGCACCAGCGCGCCCGCCAGCGAGCTCCACGCCGTCGGCGGCAGTCCGCTGCGACACACCGACATAAATACATCGATAAATCATTTTCACAATCAATCAACCTATCGCCATCGACAAACGAAGGCCTTTTGAAAAGAAACTTCTTGAGGCACGCTACGCTTGGAGAGTAAGCTAGTGAATGCGTTACGAAAAAGTGTACGTACGTTTGTTACCATAGTTACCGTTGTTATTGTCTGACAATAATGATACATTATAATATAATATTATATTCTATCCTTAAATGATACTCTATAAACATATGATTGTATTACACCCAATATGCGTTATTTTTAATATCTCGCCTATCCTAAATATTTAAAACATAAATTAAACTTCATAAAGAGTACCGACAACCTCAGAAGTTTTAGTTCTTACGCGTGTACACATTCATACACACACTCTTTATTTCTTTTAAGTTAGTAAACGCTTTTACGCATACCACCTACATACTTAAACTGTTGACTTTGTAGAACCACTAAATACTAACAAGACCCCAACCCCTACGCAGTCAACTATGAAATCCCAACGGTTGCCTGCCAAAGCAAACAACCAAAGGCTTGCTCAATCGGTCCACTCTACTGTATTAATTATAATTAATAATAATGCTTTCGTGAGAAATTTCATAAAAACGACACAGAGGTAAAAGTACGAACTTGAAATACCACCACCCGTTTTGAAACTGTTACTAAGGACTTTTTAACAGAAAAATTTAACAAATAAACTTAGTCCGATCCGGAACTCAAACGCACTATATCTACAGTCATATATGTTAATTGTTAGCTACTCGACCCCACCAGGCAGTTTTTCATAATCATTCATCTTTTGAAATATAACCTATTTATTCAAAAAAAAAAAATGAGCGCGTGTAACGCACACGCAATTGAAGAACAACTTCTTCGGTGCTGTGACAGATACCGTACTTGTACTTCTAAGGATAAACTAACGTTACTAAGAGCTCGGAACAACTAATAAAATAACGGAAAACAAGCGTGGCTTAGCGTGAATCTTCTGTCTCTTTCTGTTATATAACTGATTCGTTTCAATAAAATGATTCATTAAATTAAAATAATAATCTTTAAATTAAAATAGCGACTCAATACCTGGTGCTGCGTACACCATATCACGTATTCGTATCGACTCTACTTGCTGTACCCGCGTTCGCGGGATCGAGTCCCGTTGGAGGCGTTCATTTGTGTGATGAGCACGAATGTTTGTACTCCAGTCGTGGGTGTTTATTTAAGTGTTGTTGGAAGTGTAACTGGGCAAAGTGATGGACTCACTCAGAGCGCAGCTCCCCGTGCAGGCAGCGCGCGAGGCAGTGCAGCGCGCCGTACATGGGCGCGCCGCGGGCGCCGCGCGCGAGGCTGCCCGCGCACACCGACACCTGCTTCTCCACTTCCTCTAGCAAAATGTTTACCAATGCAAACTTCACTTTGTTCGGGTGCGAACTGGAAATTAACGAGCTTTTGTTATATACTAGTCTGTACCCGAGGCTCTGTGAGTGGTGGGGATATAGTACTATCTTTATTTCGACATTTACTCTGCCATCTTTGGTGTTATAAATATTATTCAGTGAAATTTGGTGAGATTTTTTATAATTTGACTACGGAATCGTCTAGCGGTTCACATATCTACCATATTTTAACAGAATAGCTTTACCCGTCTACGAACGAACAACAAATGGCTCGGGGATCTTTGACTAATTGGTGAATTTAAAAAATGCAAATCTCACCTATCTTCAACACAAGTAATATGTTCGGGCAATTTACGCATGAGCAGTTTCAGCTTGTAGACCGCGGTGACGCAGTCCGGCGGCTTCACTGAGGAGGCTTCTAACAAAATATCCCTTAACTGCAAGCTTGTTTTAAAGGTTTTGTTCTGGAAATATACATTTTATTACTAGTTTTGGTTTTTAAAGCATTGATCCGATTGTGATGAAACTCAGTCGGGTTATCTATACTAATATTAAAGAGGCAGAGTTTGTTTATTTGTTTGAACGCGCCAATCTCAGGAACTATTAATCCGATTTAAATATTTTTTTTTGCATTAGGTAAACCATTTATTTAGGAAGACTATAGGTTATGTTATTATTATTATTATTATCATAACGCATTCGAGACGTCTAAAACCTTAGTCTCTCCCATGACCAAGATTGCTGTAAAGCATTCAAAACGTCGGGAACCAAAAATCGAAATAAATCCGCGAAACAATCCGAAAAGATAGTTTAATTTATACTTATTATATAAATGATATACTTGAACAATTATTTACCTTAAATAATTCCGTTGGGCACTGTTCCAGCAACTCTAACGCTAAGGCCTTGTTCGATTCGTAGCTGTCGCCCAAATGATAAAGAAGGATGTCTACTTCCGTCTCTTTCCAGTTCCTTAAACATAATAAAAAGGTACTGTTAGACCTACTTCAAAAAAGATGAACATACTCAGTTTCGTGTGTTTTAATAATGTGTATATAAATAATGCGGTATGAGATACCAATATTTGTATTTGTTAAGGATATCCAAAGGTTTATGTAGAAAAAAAATCTAATATTAAGTATTAAATCGACGTCGATGTCGGATATGCGTTTTTTAGTTATAAAGTAATTATCTGGTTTGTATTGAACCCTAGAAAAGCTATAAAATATAGTTCATAATATGTTTTATTGCTTGTTTGCACGGTCAGTTAAAGTTCAAGTCATATTTAAACGGAGAACATAGAAATTCTATCAGGAAGATTGAAAAAAAAATTACTCCAATATTTAAAAAAATCTCTCGTTAATCGTTGACTTTTAAAATGTCTTATTTTCTGTTAAAATCTTTTTAGCTAAATATATAAATGCAAAAGTTTGTGTGTGTATGTGCGTTGCCAATTTGTATGAAAGTTATTATACAGACTTTGATTGAAGTAACACATAGGTTCCTGTACAGATACGTAGGTAAAAGGTACACGTACCCAAAAAAGCAAAAGTCTCTAGTAAAATATACATAAAAAATGTACTACTCAGAATTCGAACTCGCAATATCGAAAATAATAATAATAATTATAAATGTTGGGACATTAACACACAGCGCCATCTAGTTCCATGGTAAGCTACGGGGCTTGTGTTATGGATACCAGATAGTTGATACACTACACATATCACCCAAATGAATTCCCCCAGCGGGACTCGAACCCACGACCGCTAGCACGTCAAGTAGGGTCACTACCAACTGAGCCAAACGTGTCGTCAAATATATCATAAATATATTATAATACCGTAATATATTACAAATATATTATAATACCGTACAATACCTATTGTATCCGTCCATTTCCAGCTTTTCCATCCACGACAGCAATTGCAAGGCTACGTAACGCCTGCTAAAGTTGGCTCCTCTAATAAGACCCTCGAAACACGTATCCCGAAGTTTTTCCAAAAAGGTCAAGTAATATTGGCCTTTATTAATCTGGTTATTCGGATCGTTACCTTTTATAATAGTTTTGTAGCTATTTTCTAAGCGTTTTAGAAACTGAAAGATAAATGAATCATTCGAAATTATTTGTAAGTTCTATTCTATCTTGTTGGGTGAATAAATGAATTTATAAGGGAGGGAAAAATCTAATATCTCATCATGGGATGTCACCACCAATGGCAGGTGACAATCGTATTTACAAAGTTCATTATTGGATCATTGGTCATAGAAGGAGATGAGAGAGAGAGAGAGAGAGAAAGAAAGAGTTCGGTGGAAAATTGAAATATAATTTATGTTCAGAAAAGAATACATTTTGGGCTTTCTAAAAGAAATTTTATCATATTGTATGATACAAAAGTGATAGAGAAGCCAGAGCGTTCGTTCAAACTTTCGCTTAACTTAAATAACCCGAGATGGGGTGGGTGAGAAACAAAGTTGTGAAGTAGTTTGACACCGCAACTTTACGTGTGCGTTGTGTGAGATTCACAATTCAAAATATTTTATTCAGTATTAAATTATCACAATTTTCTTATTGAACGTCATGAGTGTTCCAGTTCAGAAAGAAGCTTCAGACTTGAGGAGAATTGGCGAAAAAAAGTCAACTAACTATAAGGTTACCTGGAAGAGATCGCTGTTTTAGCAATAAGGCCACCTTTTGTACATAGATCTTTTTATATTTTTTCGTGTACTATTTTGTTTTTGTGGGTGGCACAAGAGTATTTATTATTAATACTATGCAACAGGTCTTTCCCCAGTCAAGTCCCTGCTTACTGAGTACGGAACCTTACCTTTTTCATAATAGAAAGTACAAGTTGTCTGAAATGCGGTGACTGTGCGTTCATGTTGTAGTTCACGAACCAAACGATAAAGTCTAGTTCGCCATCCACAAAACCCTCCGTCGACTTTGGCGACTCCACTATAAGAGATATTGATAAGATTCGATTCTGAAAAATTTACTACACTATTTTAACCGTATCATATATTATATAAATATTGTAAAATTAACAATAATAAGCAAGAGTTTTTTAAAGAGGAAACTGATACTAATGTTGCCGGTGTCGTTAATTATTGAGAAGAAATATAAAAAAGAATATATTATATGAAAGTAACATGATTTAACAAATGCCATCAAACAATGTATAAAAACTACATAATATGTATAAAGTAAGTAAAATGTTATTTAATACGCGTAAAGAATAAATAATTGATATAAAATTAAAGTAATAATGTTTGAAATCATGATTTAATAGGGGTTAAAGTATGAAATTGCCGATTTGTACTGAAAAATTGAAATTCGTTTTTTTTAATTTAACATATTTAATCAAAATAATTACCATTATTATCTATACATTGCTGCCATCTAATAGGAAGGTCATGTATGCCTTTGCGATAGAACTCTGGTGATCTAGATTCGACAAACTTTGTGAAAGCAATTTTGTACTGCCTCCTGAGAAGAAAATTTTTATCACTTAGAAAATTGTCCAAATCACGAAAAAAATGGTAGTCCGTTGTAGCAAGGTCTGGCGAGTACGGAGGGTGACGAATGGTTTCTAATTGCAGTTCCTGTAGAGTTAAAACGGTTTCTCATGCTGTATGAGGTCTCACGTTATCATGGAACAATAATAAATAATAATTCATGAGTCGGGGCTGTTTCACTGCTAGTTTTGCTATCATTGTTCGGAGTTCGGCACAGTAGACATCTGCCGTTATTGCTTAACCAGATCGGAGAAAACTATAGTGAATAACACCATGCTGAGACCACCAAACAGTTACAATTATCTTTTTATTGGTAAGCTTTGCTTTAGGACACTGTTGCGGCGTTTGACCTGGGGTCCGCCATTGAATTTTTCGCTTACGGTAATCGTAATAAGTCGACTTTTCATCACATGTCACAATTCGATCAAATATTCCTTCATTTCTGTATCGATTCAACAAGGCAATACAAGTTTCAACACGCGTTTCTTTTTGCAGATCAGTCAAATCATGAGGCACCCATTTTTCATATTTTTTTATTTTATTGATTTGACGCAATTGAGTCAATATTGTTGGTAACGTAACGTTAAGCCATGCCGCTAATTCCTAGGGGAGTTTGCTTCGGATCGGCTTCCACCATCTCTTTCAATTCATTGTTATGCACCTGTGTGGGCGGTCTTCCACGTGGTTCGTTTTTCAAATCAAAGTTTCCATCACGAAAGCGTGTAAGCCAAAATCGCACGGTGCGTTCATTAGCAGTCCCCTCTCTAAACGCAACATCGATATTGCGAGCTGTTTCTGCCGCGTTAGTTCCGCGTCGGAACTTGTATTCAAAAATCACTCGAATCTTCCAAGTATCCATCTTTCTTGTCTAAGAATAAAAAAACAACTGAAAGTCGATAATCGAATGTTGCATATTTTTTAAAAGAAGAACTTATGTAGGTCTTCGTAGGTACCATGTGAAAAAAGTTTGACTCAAAAATCTCAAACCATGAAGGTTCTAGGTCAATTCGAAGTACCTATTACAATAAAACGGCAATTTTATACTTTAACCCCTATTATATTGTTTAAATAAATAATAAATACATTTATAACGCTTAAATCAAAATTTGTTTTCCTTATAAGATATAGTTGTAATATACATAAAAATCGTAATTGTTTAATTAAACATTTCTATTATCTATATCAGAAATCATGTCATGTAAGTGACAAAAATACAATAAAGCATGAAGAAACATATATTATTTAAATGATAGTGTAATTAAAAAAATAATAGCAAAATAAAAATACCGCACATAGTTTCAGAAATAAATGCTATTCGAATGGTCTGAATCGAGAAAATATTTTATATTTTTATTCTATTACCTCTTCACTGGAGTCGATGGCTGCCAACTTTAAGACATCATAGCTCACGATGTCCCTCCAGCGGGCGGCGCGCCGGCGCACCACGCACAGGAGGATCAATAAACATTTTATATCTGAATGGCTTCGTCCACTCTGCTCGCAGAACTCTTTTATGTAGGGAAGACTGTAACATTAAAAAAGGTAAATAAAATAATTGGAAATTCCTTTGAAATTTAAACGTGATCGTCCTCGTGGTATAATATCATCGATAAAAAAAGTCCTAGATACACAATCAGCGACAAAAAATGTCCTCACCGCAACATTTGGGCGCGTTTTTAATTATTTTTGTGACAACAACTTTAAGCATTGCCTAAAGGCAATGCTTAAACAATGTAAATTGAACCTTAAAAGGTTCAATTTACATTGTTGAACAGATTTTCTTAATTTAATTTATAGCTAAAACCACTTTCGATGAAGTCGAAATCGGTTCATCTCCATTTGGGTGCTACGATACCACAGACAGACCCACAAATACACACGTTGAACTTGGTAACTTGTGTAAAAAGAGGAGTATTTATGCGTGGAGGGCTAAAAACAGTACATTCAAATAGACTGAAGTATGATCTTATGACTCTGAAGGCTTCTCGCCTTCGCTAAACAGTTGCGTTTTCAAAAATAATATGTGTTAACAAAGTATAAGTAGATAGAACACTATCTTAACTTCGGGAAGCTAAAATCAAAATAAATCCGCGAAATAAAATAATAATAAGGTAAATAATAACTCCACTTACATATAGTCCATAATATTTTCATCGCATTTGATGGCTAAAGTTAGTAAATTTTCCAATATATTTAACACTGAAGAGTCCAAGGCATTGTGGGCCACATGACTCAATATGGGTTTGACCCACTCGGTGCAAATCTCCTGTGTACTACACTTTTGTGCGTGCTTTTGTAACAGTGTTTCTAGGGATGTTGTTGCCTGAAACCGCAGGAAACACGAGGAAAAATAATATATTTTACATTTTTGAATTTATACTTCTTTTGGCACGTTTGGAAAAACTTATGAGAGTAAAGTTTTTACGTACGATGCGCGCGCACACCGACAGCCAAAAAACGACATGATGAAGTTAGCTGCATTCCTTTTACAGAGAGTTGTGACATATGGGATGAAATCTTTAGCTGTATTTGTTGTGAGTACATAAGTACATACACACACACACACACACACACACACACACACACACACACACACACACACACACACACACACACACACACACACACTTTTTATTTTGTGCACATCTCAAAAAATTCCTCAACGATTGCTTTGAAACTATATTACTAACTCCTAATTTCCATAGAATTAAATAAAGATGAAAAGACAATATATCCAAAAGCGAAAGCGGCCTTATCGTTACTTAGCGATATCTTCCAGGCAATCTTTATCTTTAGTTTAGGGAATATGAAAGACTATAGAAGATTAGTGATGTGAACATAATGTACCCCATTACCTAATACTTAGAAATTCTATACTTTTCTTTTATGTAACTCTGTAATAGATGGCGTTGCAGCGCTTAAACTACAATACAGTTCAACTTATCGCTATATTATGTGATTGTGTGTGCGCGCGCGTGTGAACCTAACAAAAGCGTTTGTTTGTTCGGGCTAATCTCAGAAATTACGGAATTTCATACGGCTTCCACTAATTTCGGTTTCAGCATTATCTAGAAAGGTTATAATATGTATATATATTATAAATGTGAATGTTTGTGAGTATGTATGTATGTTTGTTTGTAACTCTTTCACGACAAAACGGCTGAGCTGATCTGGATAAATTTGGCACAGAGATAGATTATAGTCTGGAATAACACATAGGCTACTTTTTATCTCGGAAACCATATATTGGTTCACGAGGGATAGATTTGTTTTTGTTTTTCTAGAGGCGAACCGGTAGTTCATCTTTATTTTACAAAAATAAACTACTGATTAGATGACAGTTTTGATTTAAGTCAAAAAAGTACCCTTATGAAAGCTTCTGTAACATCACGAATGCAAAGGGAATCTGAGTCACTAATAAAATAATAAATGTGTACTCACACTAGCTTGAATAGCCTGTACGTCTAGCAAAGTCAATATCTCTGTGACAATATGCGGCCACTTTTGTAATACATACTCAGCTCCTAGTTCGTTACAGAGGGCAGTGACACTCAGGTAGAAACTCTTCCGGGTCCTGTCGAGGGATGTGAGTGTTATGAACAACTTGTCCATGGCTTCTTTATTGCCTATAAAAGATTTAGAATTAGATTTATTGTACTTAATACCTAAGTGTTATTATTAACTAGCGAATCACCCTAGCTTCGCTCGAGTTTATCCTTAGTTACGTTTTAACGGTTATTGTGGAATAGATAGACTATATATGATACATATAGCCTTCTTCAATAAACAGGTTATCTAATGCAAAAAGAATTTTTCAAATCAGATTATAAGTTCCTAAGATTAGCGCGTTCAAACAAACAAATAAATAAACTCCCGCTTTATAATATTAGTATAGATTATATATAATTCATGGTAAATTATGATTAAGATATGGTTATGGTACAAAGGTCTTTTTTTTTGTTGGGGGGGTATAAGTCCTAAAAAATCTCAATAAATCTCATTGAGAGAGAGTTTAATTAAAAAGAAAAACACCTCAAGTAATTAATGGACGCCCCCTAGTTTTAATTTTTTAAAGAAAAGATACTAAAACTATTAAATTAATACACAATAATAAAAATTTGTGTTGTTAACTCGTACCTGTATTTTCTAATTTGGCGCAATATTTTATAATGTGGGCCAAAGCTTGAGCAGTTAAATGCTTTACACTATCCGTGTAGTGTTCCAAGTGCGACCACACGAATATGAAAAGTCCATCGAGCAATTTAAGACCAAGAGTGTCCATTTTATGTAAACATTTGCAAATTTGCACTATTGTGCGTGTCACGCCCAGTATAAATGTAGACTCTGCGGAACATCTGAAACACATTTTATAGATATAATGGACGATTGAAATTCGCTTGGCGGTTTTTAAATTTTTTAGTTTTCGTGAAAAATTGCGTTTTTCAGAAAAGATATCTTAGATACAAATAAACTTAAAAAGCAAAACTTCATCTAATTACAAAATTTGATCCAAATCGCTAGAGCCGTTTACTAAATACACAAAATAAATGTTATATGGAGCATACCACGCCAAATCCGACGATTTCAAAAAAAGTATTTTTGATTTTTTAGTACTTCTCAAAAGAGGCTTCGTGGTAAATTATTTTTTGATCACTGGTTCAAAACCGCTCTCTTTTTGGTTTTTTTTCTCATAACTTTCTCAATAATTGTCGAAATTCAATTTTTTTTCCAAAATTTTTGCTTTTGGATGACCTTTATAAAATATATATTATATATATTTATTTAAAAAAATGGAAAAAAATAGTAATTATGCAAGGCCCACTATCGGACTGGGCTTAAAACTTGCATGATGGATAGACGTTTAAAATAGAACATCTAAGGATACACAGTTTTAAAAACACGATTAAAGACTTAAAATTCAAGTCTCGATGAAAACATTTTAAAAAATTTTTTATGTAATCCAAATCCAAAAATTTTGAAAAAAAAATTAGTAAACTTCGACTATTATTAAGAAAGTTATGAGCTAAAAACCAAAAAGAAGAGCGGTTTTTTTTAACTCGATATTTTTGAAGCACTGATCAAAACAATCTCAAAATTTACCAGGAAGCCTCTTTTACGAGGTACTAAAAATCCCAAAATATTAAGAAAATCATAAATAAAAACTTTTTAAACCGTCTGATGTGGCGTGGAATGCCCCATATACAAAGAATTGCTCATTTAATATTATAAGACCTTCCGTCTCTAGGTGCCTTACGGTAGCCTACGTGTGACTTCACCTCATAGTCTATCTGTGTATTAAACATTAAAATTTGTGCAGCCTTTCACATGCAAACTTAAACATTTATGACATTTGATATAAAATAATAAATGTATATACTTTAATTTATAAAAGCAGCACCGCACTAGTTATAGAGAAGTTGAACGGAAATCGCTTGGTATGAACATGGACAAAAGAGCGATGAGACACGTGTCGAGAAGAGTGACGAAAATGAATGTAGATGGATGGAGAATTAGAGGAAGACCGAAGAAAAAATGGATAGATTGTGTGAGACAGGACATGTAAGAGATAGGGATGAATGATGAGTAATAGGGACAAATGGAACAGGAACACGTCTTACTGTGCCGACCCCAAGTAACTTGGGAAATGGGTAGTGAGGAGAAGCTCTAATTAAAGCTATTATTTAATTAAATATTATTTAATAAAATTATTTAATAAAATTGAAGCTCTATTTAATTAAAAGCTCTAATTTATGCTACAAACTATTAATGAAAACTATAACAATTGGGGAAAGTAGCTAATAATAAGGGCTCTCACAATGCAAAAGTTAATTGATATATGCATATATTCTTACATTTATGTGAATATATGACATTGTAAAATGAAACTATCTTTTCAGATTTTTTCAAGAACTTATTTTGCTTTTTGGGTTAGGATTTTTGCATTGATAGACTATGACTTGGACATATACGCCACTGTTAGACACCTAAGAACCCGAACAAAGGGAGTAAGTCAGTAGAAACAGACAAGTCTGAAATGAATGAGGTTTTTTGGTTGTTTTAACACTAAACTCTGAAATTGCAGCCTCTCAGGAAGATCATATTGTGTTTTATATTAGAAGTAGCTCTTACACAAAAGTAAACTACACAAAACAACAAACAAAACTTTTGTTCTTATCTTAAAAAATAAATACCTTTCACCAATATCTAATATTTTAGTAGTTAATCTAATAATAGCTGGTTCGCCATCAGACAATTCTATCTGTAACTTGTCCATAGGAACAACTGTAGCTAACGCAGAATACATACTTAGTTTTGCTGACTCATTTGATAAGATATCCTGGATATGTGAGTTCTGGTCACATTCTAAAATCTAAAAAAAAATTAAGTTAATAAAAGGATTTGCTTTACTTAAATTTGACTGAAATTCAAATTGGAGATAGCATATATTATGGATCAAAACACAGATAATATTTTATCAAAATACCTTCCACAAAAACTATTTTTCCTTAATATATCTTAGTAATCAGAAATTGGAAACATACTCCAAAACATTTTTTCATTTTATTTATTTCAATAGATAGAAAACATTTCAATTACTTGTATCTCTAACTGGTTTAAAAAGCAGTCACACTTGTCTACATCAAAAATGTGGTCTTCAATTTCAGAGGTATGGAACAACAGTTTATTTACTAATATTTACTTTATATTATAAAAAATATAACTTACATCTAACCAGGAACTGGAATTATTTTCAAACATATGCATTGAAATGTAAAGGATACCACAAACTGACTTGGTGTCCATTGGAGCATCTGTGTCAAATAAAACCTCTTTTAAATGAATTTTTACATCATTGAACATCAATATCAATCTTGGTTTATTATTTTCGCTCACTTTCTGTACAATATACAACAAGAGTCTTAGAGTTGAATGAGCTAGGTTGTAAATTTCATTTTTTTCTGTGGGTGACAATGGATGAAACACTTGTCTGAAAAAATATATATTATAGAAGTAATTTTATTACTTTTCAATATTTTTAACAGATAGATGTGTATAGCATAAATTTAATAAAATGTAATCAAAAACAGTACTACTTAAATCATAAAAAAATGTTACAATTGATTTTATTATTTAGAAGGTACTTATTGACTTCATACTATTTATTTATAAAAAAAATCTACTATACCAGTAGACACTCCATAGAAATTTTGTGATTTGTTATGAAAAATTTGTAGTTTAGAGACTATGTGGATTTTTAACTTACCTTAATGATTTAAGACAGTGTGATAAGCATTCTTTGAAGTATGTCACAAGCATAATTTCAATATTTTTAACTGCAGCTGCACCAGTAGGAAAGTTTTCAGTACAAGCTGCAACTTTACTGACAATATCCTTAAAACTTTTATCATTGTTTCTATCAATTCTACATATTTCATTATGTTTCTTTATGAGACACTTAAGTTCTTGTGTAAGAATCTCTGAAAACTGTTCTTTAATAAAATTGTTTCTGGTAACACATCTAAAATAGATATAGTTATTAAAGCATATTATTTATACAAACAAATAATAATATAATATAATTATTTATTACTCCATTAATTTTCATGACAAATAGTTATAGAAAAATATATTTTGAAAATATATAGAAATACCTTGATATCATACATTTTGCTGGGTGTTTAGTATCTGCTTGTAAATAAACAATAACAAGGAAATGTACAGTTCTTTCATCAAATTCACTTTTAGACCCATCCAAAGCTTGTTTTAAGATCTTAAGTTGGTCTTCAGCACTTGCTTCCGAAAAAAATTTCCATCCATTATTTTTACCTAATGAAACTTAAATTTTAGTATGATTGCTATAAATAGTTTTACAGACTCAGTTTGTCCTGAGCCAAAAATACTTACAAAAACTGAAAAAAGATGGTTCAGATATGACTACAGGATCAAATGTAATGCCACCCCTAGTTTTATTTTCACTTCCCCTTATTCTTAAAGTATTGGAATTCATTTTATAAAAGAAAGGCTATAATTTATTTTTAAATAAAAATATATGAAACTGATAAATTTGTATAATTAATTATAATTCATTTATAACGCACACATATTTATACATTAGGAATAAAAAACTTTACTTATTATAAAAATATAAGTAAAATGAACATGACAAAAGTATTTTTTTAATTTATACTATTTTTTTGGAGATAACCTAAAAATTAAAATACAAACTGCAAAGTTTATCAACAATATGATTCAGTCATAGAGTAGGACTAGGTACAATGGGGTAGAAATTTGCCTTTTTCTCCCGCCATTTGTCGCGATGACTATGGCCCTCAGTATATTGTAAAGCTGTATGCACTATAGCGTAGATACTAGATAGTTTTTTTTCATTTTATTTAAAATTTAGTTAAAATGCCAAATTGTGCAGTACCAGGATGAGAAAAAATGGCTATCATTTGTATTCTGTTCCCAAAAGACATAAACTGAAGAAATTGTGAGCTAAAGCAATAAGACGACCAAAATTGACGAAATTACAATCTTTATATTTAAGGCTATGTAGAGATCATTTGAAAGAAAGTGATTTTAAAACTCCTAAATTGTATACAGTTAAATATATTATTTTATTTTTTGTATTTTTTTTACGTATTAATTATAGTTTCGTACAATTATTATTATTAAAAAAAAACTAAAATACGTATTTATTTAATTGCATTGAAAAGCATTAATACCAAGTTTCGAGTAATTCTGATAATAAATAATTCTTTGCTAAACTTTATTACCCCATTTACCCCTTTAAGGGATGAATTTCAAAAAAATCAAATAAATATAACCTTATTTTTTACTTTAAAGCTAAACACCACTTTCTGTGTATTTCACATTAAGAATGACAGAATTTCATACAGTCTTTAATCCCCTATTTTACCCACTTAGGGGATGAACTTCGAAAAATCCTTTCTTATCGGATGCCTTCGTTATATATGGAATACGTCTTTTAAATTTCACTTTTCTACGAAGAACGGTTTTGGCTGTGTGTTGATCCATCAGTCAATCAGGATCATCGTAGGATGCACTTCAACAATTATCACTGACTTCCAGGTACAAAACATTACACAGATAAAATGTCAATACAATAGAATCGAAAAAGCAGGTATATAAGAGATATCACGTTAAATTGCTTAACTTCAGGCATTTCTGTATAGTTTGTGCATCAGACTGGATGTAAATAGGCCATATGCGTGGCGCCCTCCTGACGAGAAATTTTCCCCATTAGAAACATTTGCTGAACATTCAGCATTGAGCGTGTACGGACGTGAGCGTGGACGTTCCGATACTAGTAAATACGAGTAGGTACTCGATACTTTTGATTCGATGCCAAGTACTAATAGTATCGAATCAATCTTGAATTCAATACTTAATCGGTATCGAAACTAAAGTACTTGGTATCGAATCGAATCAGACAGACCTTACTTCCGATTCATCACTCATCATTTCCGAGAAATCAGTAATATAGACATATTTCACCAAAACAAACGAAACAATTGTAAAATTTAAACAATGTATTTAGTCTGTGAAGTATTGTGGCAATACGTCTAATTTATCCAAGCGTTCTAAAAATCATGGAATTACTGTGGACAAACTAAGTAGCCCAAGTGAGTCAGAAGATCATGCCTCAGCCCTCACCTCACCTCACCTACTGCACCACCCGAATATGATTTTCGGTAACATCATAAGGAGTTAGCACACGGACACAAGAAGAGAAAAAAATCTCATCAGGCCGATAAAGTTTCTCTATATTTATCAAATCCAGTAGTTTCCCTTATAAAGCAACCCATTTGCAGAATGTGATTATATGAAATTTGTATTTCCTTGACTGTACAAATAAATATGCACAACAATACTTAATTGTAATCGCAACATCGGTTACAAGCGAGCGCTTATTTTTCAAAGCCGGAGCAACAATGCCGCAAACAAGAAACAGATTGTCTCCAAAATACCTAGAGTAATTACTGTTTTTGGGCAATCTTGATGCTAAAGAGTTTTTTGTTTAATATACGTAATAGCAAAAATTAATGAAATAAAAATTAGTTATTTAATTACTTTAATATTCACCCTCACAAAGTTATTGTCCTTTAACATTTGCTACATAAGTTTCATTAAAAAAATCTAAAAGTATCGATATCAGTAAGTATCGATACATTAGGAGTATTTGTATGAATAGTATCGAAAAATGATTTGAGTACTACTGATATGAGTAGGTATCGATACTTTGATGGTATCGGAAGATCCTTCAATTCAATTCAATTCTCTTGCTAATGGCTTCAAAACGTGCCAGTTGAGCACAGATTACTTTGCCAATGTCACGTAGAATTTAGAAGATACGAAGGAGATTGGTCGGTATAAAATGAGATTACTAAACTGTTTATATTAATAAAAAGTGTAAAAAAAGGTTAGCAACTCCTCTATGAGCCTTGGATCTACAACAAAAGACAACACAATTACTATATACATAAAAACCATAATTAAAAATAAGTGGTTAGTAAGTAAGTTCTAAATATCTTACAAAATTGTTAGTCTATAATCTAATTCCATTACTCTTAATATATTTACATAAAAATTTACACAAAGGACTAAACACAAACATTAACAAACAATTAACATCAATGGGACGGGGGACTTTGAGGGGAAGAACATCATAAATAGGATGGAGAAGTCTAGGACAGCTAAAAAGAATATGAGAGGGAGTACCTTCATCAAGACCACATTCGCATAAGGAATGGTCCCTGACCCTAATTTTCGCTAGGTGCACAGGTGTACATGCATGTTCAAGACGCAAGCGACAAATGGTAGTTATGACCCAACGTTCCGCAAGTTTTAAACGATGAAACCAAGGGTGCCTTGGAATCTCGGCCTGAAGGGCTGCATAGTGCTTACCTTTAAAAGATTTTGATAGATATCGGAAGATCCTTATGAGCGTGTCAACCATAGATTAAATAAGTCAACACTCAACTGTCAATTGTCAAATATAGCATTAAGACCTCCGTTCGAATCATGGATGAGTTCGAATTCCCATTACGTTCCAAAAACCTGGACAGAAAATTGAGATGATTCTCATTACATGATTGTAGAACTTTAAAATAATCTTTTATTCCATTTAACGCAAAATTGGCTAAATAATTGGTGCTCAACTATCACGCATTAAAATTATCATTATATAAATAATGAAGTTTAATTGAATTAAAATTAGAATCGCTATAAGTAATAAATTGCATAGTAAATTCCTATAGTGATTTTATCTTTTTATAAAGTTCATTATTCCTTAATATTCATCACTATGAGTTTTTATCATAACTTAAAAAATATATATATATAAAAACCGACTTCCAGGCACTCAAATGTAAAAAAATAACTAAACGGGGGTTTTTATTTAGAATAGATACGTAATTAGATATTTTCGAAGTCGGCGGTGGAGAATGATTGGAATAATGATGAATTTAATCTACTTCTAACTGTCATATTGACTTTGAACTTTGCAAGTATTTCTATTTCCGTTGAGTGGTTCGGTATCGTCGACCCTGATCTAATGGTAAAGCCAGAAGGTGGATAGGTGTAACTCGTCAGGGTCTAATAGTAGATACTTTGAGTTTGGGCTTATTTTGTTTGATTTGATAAGCCCAATATGTTAGAATCGGAATATAGGGCCAGAAATTTTAGTGCTATTAATAAAAGCGAATTTTATTTTGTCAGTCTTCATATATTAATTGGCATCAAACTAACTTAAACGGCATAAGCGAAAAATAGCCAGCCAGCCGTAGCCAGCCGATACAAATCAAAGCATACCGTCGTCGAAAATATCGGATTAGTTATCTTAAAGTAAATGAAAAGTACCAATGAGTTACTTTTTACTTTTAAGTGCTTTTTTTGAAGTCTGTTTCTTTAAGTTTTTATTTCAATTAAACTGAAATTTGCTTCATGCGCTGAGGATGCCCCGTACACAGTAAGATTGTAATTGCAATACAATACTTATTTGTCTATGTTTAATGTATGAAGAAAAAAAAAACAAAAAAAAAATAAGAGAAATTGTTCACTTTATTGAAACAATAATTCGTTATTTTATATTCATTTAAATTACTTAATTTAATAAATAAGTACTATTGTATCACACTACGACTTATTCAGTCTTATCAGAATTCGTCAAGGGTTTTGTTTCTTCAGCCTTGATACCAACTTCGACGGCCGCCTCCTGAGCTGCCGGAGCTTCTTCTTTCTGTTCTTCGATCTTCTTATCTACCCCGTTGCTGTCGTTATTATGGCCTGTAAAACAAACGATTACAATATAACATGTACACTAATGGATTATTATAATATTAAGCATAATTTCTGAAAATATACACGTTATATTTCTTAAAAATATCTTGTCAGATGATCCCTCTATGAAAATAATAGCCCTGACCATTAATCGAACCACCGATTCGACTTAAACGGACAAGAAGTGTTAACAGGTAGATATTCTTTGAATATTAAATTACTTGGTATATATACCATATTTTTCATGGAATAAATCATATATATTAAGTAGATACATACGTTTGTACATACGAGTATATGGTATATAAATACATATTCTATTCATGTGTAGGTATATTGTATATACTCGTATTTAATTATTGACAAAATAGCTAAGACGATACGACAAACTCTATTGCTGATACTTCTATCAGCCTAAAAATGTATAAAATAACATATCACATATCTAAACGATTTTGTACTTATTAAACAGTTGTTTGAAATGTTTATCTTAGAAAGGAGAAAATCGATAACCACATATCTTCACTCGGTGTAATATATAGGATATCGATAATAATATACGACACTAAAGTATATTTGTCTATTACTAGTAGTATGTACTATTGGTCAGATTAGCAAAAAATATTTATTTTTTTGCATTTTATACCCTGTTTATTGAAGAAGATTATAATAGAATATCTCTGGCTATAAGCTCTACAGCCCTTTAGGAGCGGAAATATTATGCATACGTAAACTATACACACGTTAAACATAAAGCAATCAACAAAAGAAATGTTATGTTGTAATTTTCTTCGGTATCTATTCTATTTTCAACCGACTTCCTCAAAAAGGAGGAGGTTCTCAATTCGCCTGTATTTTTTTTATGTTTGTTACCTCAGTACTCCGTCATTTATTAACCGATTTAGACAATTTTTGTTTTGTTGAAAGTGTATACTTCCAGATTTAAATTTCAAAAAAAAAACACACTACACATACAAAAATAGCACACCGACTTCGAAAATATTTGATTAGGTATGTATAGTAAATGAAAACTACCAATCAGTTATTTTTTAACTTTTTAGTGCTTTTGTTTAAAGTCGGTTTTTATTTTTTTGTTAAAAAGTTTTGTTCACTTAAAATTAAATTATACGAATTCTCAGGTTAAATACTTATTACTTATCATCTAAGTTAAAAAAAACATGTAAAGCGGACATTTTTGTGAGTCACCATACAAAGCTTGGCACGGACACTTAAAGCTGTATGATACCTGAACATTTGTGCCTAGAGTGTTTATAGCACTGTTAACCGCGTTCGATACTGTGAGGGCAGTACCGTTTATCGCCGCGCTTATTGTACCTATCAGACCGGTTACAAAAGTCGTCCATGCTGTCACTATGGAAATAAATGCATTTAAAAAATATACACGCAATGAATATTTAACTGTGTACATATTTAGTAACTAGTTAAAACATTTTATTTGGATTTGTTGATCTTCATATGTATAAATAAAATATAGTGTTAAATTTTGCAAACATTGCAAATATGCATGTATGCTTACTAACCTTGATTAGCACTGTTGTCACCGTAGTGTCCTTTATTTTCCAATTCGGCATCCTCTTTCATATCGTTTTCAACTATTTCATTCCTAGGTGTCTCTGAATTTGGGCTTCCTTGGAGCCTTTGCACTGCAGACTGAATACCTTTAATGATGGGATTGTTCTGAACAAATTGCTGTATGGGTCCACTCTGGGCGGGCTGTTCTGGGGTCACTACGGCCTGTTGCTCTGGGGCAGCCTGAGGCAAGATGGCAGGTTGTACTGGCTGTTGATCTTCAGCTTTTGCTGGGGCAGGTGACGCAGCTGATGCAGATACAGGTGGCGGAATAGCATCTGCTTGGACTCCAGACTCTTTTTCAGGTTGCTTCGGAGGAGCACCTTCTTTTTCTGGTGTCGAATTAGAATTGGTCGGTTGTTGCGAGACTGATTGGCTAGGCCGTGATATTAACTGTATTATGTTATGAAAAATACCTTGGGGCGTCCATAAGGCGATTCCTGGAGCAGGCGCTGACGAAGCAGGCGCAGACTCGTCAGATTGGGCACCGGATGGTTTAGTGGGTTGTTGCGCAGTGGAGGATTGGCCTCCAGAGCCTGAGATAATATTTGGAAAACTAAAATTTTGGAAAATGTTGTTCATATTATTATTAACTGGTAAAAAATTTTGTAATATGGCTGTGAGACTTGAAAACCAATTAGAGCTGCCAGAGCCTTGGGCAGCAGGTTGTGTCGCAGAATTGGAAGCAGATTCCTTCACAGCTTCTATCTCCTCTTTTACCAAAGCTTTAGTCGCTGATTTAATAGGTTCATCTTGGTCACGAATAATTGAAAGAAGTTCAATGCCTTCATTTAAGGTATCGACCACAATTTTGAAATTTAACTTTAAATTTTGTATTGCTGATTCAACGATTTTTAGTTTAGGATCTTTTTGTGACTCTCCATCAAGTTCTGCTGGCTTGGATTCCAAATGACTTCTTATAGTATCATTTAGCTTTTCGATTTCTATACTAAATGACTCATTAAAGTTTTTTAAGTTTTCTAAAACAACCGGGAATTTATCACTTTCTTCGTTTATATTTAGCAAACTGTCGGACACTTCCTTTAATCCTTTAGTATAAACTGACTCGGCTTCTTTAGTTTTTTGTATTATAGCATATACGCCTTTCTCCTTTTCGCCATAATTTTCTGGGTTTTGGGTTTCATGCTCTTGACGCTGAGGTGGTCCAGGATTATTTAAATCAATTTCGAGTCTTTTGATGTTGATACTTTCATCTTTATTCGGAATATAATCGTTGGAATTTTCGTCCAAAACAACTGGTTCCTCTATCACCTTAACGCGTATGTCAGACGCCTTGCGTAGATTATTATCGAGATCCTGGACGATGGGCTGGTCTACTAACTCTGATTCGACATTGTCGAGGTCAACGTTATCGAGATCGTCAATTTTTTTTTCCGACGAGGGGATTGACGCAGCGCGAACGTATAACGCGCATGCGCATAGTGCTACGAACGTGTATAATCTCATGGCGGGCGGTGGACACTGCGCCAGCGCGTTGTGCGTCCTCCTTTATACTGTACATAACGGTTCTACATACGCCCGACGCTAAATGTTTTTGTCATTATTTGTGCTTAAACTAGCGCTCCTACGCGCGAACGCTCGAGATTTTTCTTTAATTGATAAATATATTAATAATTACTAAATCTATTAACATTATTCTGTCAAAATCATATACATATATGTACATATAGTATTTTATTTATATTTTAGTAATTTTGAACTAAATAAAATATTAACTTTAAGGAAAATTGTCTTAAATTTGTCACAAGGTCTTCACACTTTGCATTACCAAAAATAAATAAGTTGAATGCTGGTAAAAACCAAACGCTTCTGGTTTTGGAAATAAAATTTAATATTTAATATTTTAATCATAATCACTTGCACAAATGGTACTAAATAGTTTTATTTTCTTGTGATAAACATGAAAAATTTTAAAATATTTTATTGTTAAATACATAGTCTTTTACAGAAATAGAAAACTTTATTATGAACATGAATACTCTTATTTATTCTTAATAATTTTTCGACTGTCATAAAACGTAAATATTACCTGGACTTTGCAAGTACAAACCACAAAATGCTTATTTTAGTTGCTCTTTAAAATACTAACCTGAAAGTTGCAACTCTCTAATAGGTAAATACACAAAGTTCACGGTTTTTCTATTAGTATTTTTGCTGCTTTCTCTAAGAAACATCATCTTCCAGCAGGATTGAGACCGCGCGTTTGTCACTTAGGCGATTAGTTATTATACATTCATTTGAATTTGCTTATAAGAAAATCTATACAATTGCTTATATAATAATTTAGATCCTATTATAATTTTACTAAAAAATAATATTGGTCATTAATTACAAGCACTCCTTCACGATATTAGATAGTACTTGGGCTAGGTGTTGTGTGGAATCTTATAATTCAATTTTATTATGTTTGAGTAGATTGTTACATAAGACCTTTTATCATAACAGAAGACGTTTGCCACAGATGTTTCTCATCGCTAGTTTAAACTTTTCTTTCAAGAGCTGACAACATTTTTATATGTATCCTAACCATACATATAAGCCTATTTTCTAACTTACGCAATAACGTCAAATTGTTTAAAAAGGGGTTACCGGCTTCGGGGTCAGGAGGTAAGAAAGGGTATTCAAGTATTCATCTCAAGAAAATTCTATAGATGTAGGAGCCCATTCATATACGACGCGGATAGAATATAAGCAGTAATCTTTGCTCTATGTAGGCCGATGATATCTGGTTTGACATTGTTTTTAGTACAAGTACTCATACCATTAAAATAAAATCCAAAAATGCTATATTAAAATTTAAAAATAAGCTAATATATTTCGCTTTACTTCCTTCTCAGTAAAACCCTATGCCGAGACGGTGGTAGCATCCTCACGGACTTTATTTAAATTAGTTTTACGATCCTAAAGAGCTTGTAAAATTCTAATAGAATAAACTTAGATTTCATTTTATTTCATTCTTGTTTTAATTTAGATTTGAAACTTTAATCACACTAATCTGACTCAATTTTTGATAGAGTAAAAGTGTATTTTTCTTATTTTAAAGCAATTTTAATAATTAAGGTTTCTGTTCTAAGCTTTGATAGAATAACACTACATCGAGACGTGAAGTAAGAAAGCAACGCGTCGAAGTCTTTTCTTTGCGTAGATAGAGTACCTATCTCTAAGCCACAAAAGAAACAAAAAAAAATAGTATCCACTAAACCAGTTGTTGGAAGTGCGGAATTTGATTAGATCAAAATTTCCTTTCAATTTCTTCAAAAATACTCAATGTACCTATTTAGTATATTTATATACTAGTTGAGATAATATTGTTTTTTTTTGTTTGTTTTTTTTGAGTGGCAGAGACTGTAATGTATGATGACGTTTGTCATAGTTATTACAGACACTGTCTGTTTACATAATTATTATATGACCGAATTAGCGTGTAGTGGCTAGCAAGTACGGATGCACATCTGGAGGTCCTGGGTTCCAGTTCCGAGTCGGATCAAGTTTAGTTATTGAGTCTTTTTGTTTAGTAAGCCTCAGTAGCAACTCGGAGTTGGGAAGTTGGCGAGTTTTAACCCCGTGCCTCGGAGATCACGTTAAGCTGTCGGTCCTGCGCCTTAATTAACTCTCACTGGTCGCGTCCCACCGAAGTATAAGAGTGACAGGAATAGAGAGTGTACTTGTGTCTGCGCGTACACTTGTGCACTATAATATAAACTCCTGCGCAGATGGCTAGTTCAATGAGAATGGCTGCCGTGACTGAAGTCGGTCGGCAGGACATTATTATATGGCCGAAATAATTCACAATATCAAAAAAAGTTTCATTTTCGGAAAATCTAAAAATAAAACACGAAAATATATGCAAATAAAAAATCGGTCAAGTGCGAGTCGCACACGAAGGGTTTCGTACCATAATCGTCTTTTTTATTTGCCGCGCAGTCTTTTTGAAATTCGCCATCTTGGTTTTTTATTCTTTGTTATTATAGCGGCAATGGAAAAACGCACTCTGTAAAAATTTCAACTCGCTACCTATTACGGTTCACGAGATGCAGCCCTCTGACAGATGGACGGACGGATATACGGGCGGACGGACGGACGGATATACGGACGGACGGAGAGCGGAGGCTTAGTCATAGGGTTCCGTTGGCAACCTTCGGGTACGGAACCCTAAAAACGGTTTTGTTATTATATTTTCAATTAATTAATATTAATGTTTTTTCTGTTATACTTAATATATATTCCATTCTTTAAGAAACAAAAATACGACACTTGAATTACTTTTTTCTCATATGTGGCCCGAAATTAAAACTATTTTCCATATTTAGTTTTATTAAATACATTTATGTAACTTGTATATTCAAAAAAACTTTTTAACAAAAAAATAAAAACCGACTTCAAACAAAAGCACTAAAAAGTAACAAATAACTGATTGGTAGTTTTCATTTACTATACATACCTAATCAAATATTTTCGAAGTCGGTGTGCTTAGCTTTGTATGGGCTGGCACCGATTTCAAAAATATTTGATTAGGTATGTATTTAATAGGTAGGCTTTAATTACTTAGCCAAAGCACACCGACTTCGAAAATATTTGATTAGGTATGTATAGTAAATGAAAACTACCAATCAGTTATTTGTTACTTTTTAGTGCTTTTGTTTGAAGTCGGTTTTTATTTTTTTGTTAAAAAGTTTTTATTTTTCCCTTTTTAGTGTAGACAGTAGTAGCAAAGTAAGGATTCTAACGTGTTAGGCTTGTCAAATCAAACAAAATAAGCCCAAACTCAAAGTATCTACTATTAGCCGTTGAAGAGTTCCACCTATCCACTTTCTGGCCTTGCCATCAGATCAGGTCAACAACACCGAACCACTGTACTATCAACGGAAATAGAAATACTTGCAAAGTTTCAAGTCAATATGACAATTAGAAGTAGGTTAAATTCATCATTAGTGGTTTTTCCACCCTTAGGGGTGGTATTTTTTTTTGAAATTTAAATGGGACCAATCTGGAAGTACACCCTTTCAAACAAAACAAAAATTGTCCAAATCGGTTAATAAATGACGGAGTTCTGAGGTAACAAACATAAAAAAAAAAAAAAAAAAAACATACAGTCGAATTGAGAACCTCCTCCTTTTTGAAATCGGTTGATAAATTATAAGAGCCTACAAGAATTAAGCTTGACATTTATACATACGTAGGAGTAAGTGGAAATAAAAATATTAATTTAATGTTTGCTTTCCATAAAACTGTCGCAGCTACAGTTATCATGGAAGCTTTTGGAATAATTATTATTAAATAATTAAAACAACTCTATATCTTTTTATTTTTATCACTTAAGATTTAGAGTTCTGTAGAATGAAGCTTATTTTAATATAAGTATATAGACATACATACATACATCAGACATCCGTCGAGTTGTAAGGCTGGATGGCCGGATATTCAGCCATGTTGGGACAAGTGCATATGTTATTGGGAGAAATATGGCGTGTTCGGATGTTATCATGACTTGGTGATCAGCGAAAGTTATTTTTTTACTCGTCAGTCGCTTTGTAATCCTTGTCTTCGATGGTCGTTTAACTCGAAGCAGTCTCAACTAAATCTATTGATAGAAGTTTGTCAGAGTGTACCTTTCAGCGCCTTGCTGTATTTACAAGTCAATTTCATAAAAACACAAAAGGCCTTGTAAAAAATGTAAAAAAAAACTTAGAAAAAAATAATTTTTTTTGAGCGGAATCATAATTCTTTTTCTAAAATAAAAGTAGCCTATGTTACTCCCTATAAAATCAGTTATCTTCCAGTAAAAGTTTCGTCAAAATCAGTCCAGCCGTTTCAGATATTTTCCGGAACAAACAGACAGACAGACAAAATTTAAAAAAAATGTGTTTTTCTTATAAGTACCGTATATAATTTCATATGCATTTAGTAAAACGCTGTTATTTTGACATTACAAACAGTACATAAAACTATTATTATATACTTTTGAATTAAAATAGATTCGAACTTGACCAGTTTATTGACCGTTTTAAGTTTATCTCCAGAGCAAAATAATACAGTCGTAAAGTTTAATTATTCCGGTAAAAATTAATTAGGAGAATTTACAAAGATTTATTCAAATGTATGTGTTATTGGCTATCTATGCAAATATTGGAATTCTGTGTTTGATGTATTTGTAGTCCCGTTAACTGTAGCAAGCCTCGACCATCTCTCCACTTGTTTAGATTCACAGATGAGTAGATTTTTGGTTTAAATATCACTAAACACTAATTGGTTTTACGCTCTTTACTAAGATATTTTGGAAATGGGTATTTCTCCGAGATTGCGTCCTTCATTTGATTAATCTGGCCAAAAATCATTTTCATTTTTGGATCTATTTAACATACTCTTATGATTAAAGACATGCCAAATATTATTTGCCATGTCTTTAATCATAAGAGTATGTTGAATAGAGCCAAAAATGAAAATAT